AAGAAAAAGTCGGGAAAACTTCTATAATTATGTCTCTAGTTGGTATTAGTTTTCGTGAAAAAGTCCCACAAGTCATCTCCGTAATTGTCCTTTCGCCTGAAATAATTGGCGAACCTGTTACTACTAGGATACTTATCGATACCTCTCGTATATTTTTGTTATTTTTTCAAAATTATTTTTTTGATTTATTTAAATTATACAGCAAATGAAATAGAATTTTAAATAAGGAACTTAAAAAGGCAGACGCCTTAATTCTTGTGTATACCTTCGATAATATGAAAACTTTGGAAACGTATAGAAACTTTTTGGCCCTCGTTAGATTATATTCTTTATTCAAATTTTATTTTTATAAAGTTTAGATTTTATTAATAGTATTTTTTACTTTAACCTTTTAACTGTTACACAATTTATAATTATATAATTAAACCTTTTCAAAAGTTTTATACGAGAAGCTTTTGGAAGTGAGAATGGAAAATCAGTAAACATTGCGCGGCCAATTATTATTGCAGGAAATAAAGTTGATTTGGGAATTAATACAAACGAGGTATGAATTAATTTATATTACCTTGAATAATATTTTATAAAAATTAAATTTTTAAAGTCCAGTACGGTCGTTTTGTAAAGTTTACTGTCAAATTGATTTGATTTTTTTTAATAGTTAACAATCTGAATTTGCTTTGTTTGTACACTTTTGATCAGTTGGGGACACAGAAAAAAGTTTTCTTTGTTTTTATGAACTTCAAACTTATATATTTTTTTTAAAATTTACGCTTTAAGTAATAATAAATTTAATTTTTTTTTAACAGTTTGTTTGAGGAATAGATTTTCTCCAAAACACAGAAATTTACTGGTATCGAGCACTTTGTTGAAACTTGTGCTAAAAACTTTAATAACATTGCTGAGAGTTAAAATAAAATTTTACTAAAATTTAAAAAATTATTTTATATATAAGTATTATTTAGAATTAATTGGTGAATTTAGTATTTTTAATTATAAACTTATTTTTTAAGAAGTATTTAAAATTTGAAAATCTGATTGAAGCAATCAAAAATTTTAGTAACTCAAATTAATTCTAAATTTTAAGTACGAAGACCAAATTTTTACTAAATTTTTTAATTTAATTATAATTAATAAATTTTATCGTTTTTTGATAAAAATATATATAAAAAGTAGTAAAGGCAGTTCAAAATTTTATAAAATTTTTAATTTATTATTTTAATTTGGTTAACAGTAACTTTTTTTAACTATTTTTTGAAATATAAATAAATTCTTAAAAAACTAGTTTTTAAAATTAAATTAATAATAATTTTTACTATGAAAAAGTTAATAAAGCGGATATAAAATACTTTGTTTAAAGCTTTTGTAATTATTGATCACTATATTTATACATACAATTTGATTAGCTATACAAGTTTGTCTATTTGTATCATTTAAATTATAATCAAAGTTTTGAAATTAATTTAGAAACGGCAGTTGACTTTTGATTTTATTTATTTTTAAAACTAATAAAAAAATATTTTTATATATAATTGGAGAGAAGCAGTGGACTTTATCGCATTCTCTTTAAAAATTAAATTATTATTTTTGAAACTATAAAAAAATTTATAAATTGCTCAACTAATTTTAATATCATAAAGAAAATCAAATTATAAAATTTATTGATTTTGTAAATATATTCGCACTAGAAAAATAAAATCATAAATTGTTTTTTTAGTAAAAATAAGAAAATCTTGTTATAATTTTTAAAAAAGTTACGTTTACTATGAAGTATTTGAAATAATAAGAAAATGTATAATGATAATCATAAAATTTTATAAAAAACAATTTGTTATAAAAATCTGATTAATTTTGTTTTGCAATTTAGCTCTTTTCTTGTGCTCAACAGGCCATAATTCATTATAGCAGTCCTTTACAATCCTAGTATTACAGTTATTATTATTCCATAATTTGCATTAATAAATTCTGAGAAACAATTTTTGTAACATATATAAATAGTAAATTTATAAAGATACAATTCCTAAATATATAATAATATAAATAAAAAAATATTCTCTTATATTTTTCGTTATTTTTACTTATTTAATTTTTTGGGTACACAAATTTTTTTTTTTGTTTACCCGCGCAGCGCAGAAGAACTTGACAAAAAAATGGGCTGGAGCTTTTTTCCGCATATTTAAACTTGCTGTTTTCTGCTTATTATTATTAGTCTCTTTTATAGTTTTTTTAATTTTTTTTTTTATCAGTATTATATTATTATCTATGTTTTTACTTTATTATTATTAGTCTCTTTTATAATTTTTTTAATTTTTTATTATTATATTATTATTTATATTTTACTTTATAGTTTTTCTCATTATTGTATTATATTATAACTTTCCTAATCATTATGATTCCATTTTCACTTTTAGGCATTTATTTCTCATCTAAATATTTTTTCTTTATAATTATTTTACTTTACATTATATTATAGTTTTATTTATAGTGTACAGGTTTTTAATTTACACCCTAACCCCAATAAATAAAATTATTTTAATTATAATTTAATATTAATTTTTATATAGATTTTTAGTTGTTATTATTGTTACATTTCTTTCTAGTACTTTCACTTACCTATATTGTTATACTTTATATTATCTATATTATATTACTTTACTGTCTATAATACAAGTTCTCAAGGACTTACAGCCTGCAATATCAATATAATTTAAACTTATACAGTTTTTGTTTTCCTCATAGAGAAAAATGAGACTTTTTACTCTTCTTGTAAGTTTTTTTTTGGAAAATTGATAAAAATTACTTTGTTGCCTTTCTTTCGGCCGTAAGATGAATAAAAATAACTTTTCGAAAAATTTATGTATTTAAACGGGCGCTTAATTTTTTGTTCTTCACATTCTTGTACGACGCAAGTTGGCATTAATTTAAAGTAATATACTATTACTTCTTCAACTAAATGATTCTCTTGCCCACTTTTTTTTTAAAGTCCCCTACTTTTAGGTTTACAAGAAGGGGTCTCTCTAAGCACTAAAATATAATTACATCGCTTTGACCTAGTATTCTTAAGGTGTGGACAAATATAAACTTTGTTGTTGCGTATAAAACAAATAATTAAAATTATTTTTACATTGTAAAGGAAGGTGCTGCGGTTATAAGAGGGAGCATTCTAATTCGTAGGCAGGTTATAACAGTTATATCTTCATGAGTAGAGGACTGCATGTGCTTATATACGTATGTAGCTCATGCACGCGCTGCCGCTATGTTTTTTAATCCTCTTGTTCTCATTTTTTTCTAAAGTTGGTTTGGTGCTCATAGAGGATCCAGTTTTTCAAATAAATGTCAACGGTGCTTTTAGTTCTTCGACCACAAAATTATATTATATTAAAGCTTTTAGTATATGATTATTATATTGTATAATGTATTGTTTTATTTTTATTTTCGAAGATCCCGGTTTGTAAAATCAACATTGAGAACCGACGATTTAAAAAAAAATTCGGAACAGTAGCCAATCATAGTAAATTGTGAAAAAAGAGAGTATCTATCCAAATTTTAATAGCCTCTAAAACTTAAGCAGTTTTTGTACCGTAGTGTAGGCTAGCTTAACCCTTTAAAATTTTGTTTTTTATTTCTACGTTTAGCACGCTGTAGATGCTTAATAAAGTAATTAGTATGTAAGGCTATCTAAAGTTTAGTTTTAATGAAGAGGCATACTTCATTATTTCTTCCTTAGCAGAAGGTTCTAAATATATAAAGCGAAGGCTTGTAATCTTTCATATATATATTTATATAAATTGTGACCCAGAAATACGAAGTAAATTCCTTTATTAAACTTTACCAATAGACAAGAAGATACTGTATTTTTCTGCTAATCTCTTTTCCACTGGTCGAAATAATAGCAAAGTAGTGGTGAAAAAGTAAAAACTAAGTTCCTAGTTCAGTGTGTTCTGTGTTTATGATTTTTAACTCAAGTTATAGAGAAGAATCTAATATTGTAGTTTCAGTTTCTTCTCCTTGTTTATTTAGTCTACCTTTATGATCAATTCTCATAAGATTAAAGTTACTAGGTTACCCCCCCCCTTCCTTAGACATGGAGAGATGTATTTGGATACGAAAAATTGTTTTAATATTTCGTTTTAGCTATTACTGAAAACTTAAGCTGCTCAAAATGAATACAGAAACGGGGCTCTAAAATCTTTTGATCTTTTATAAGCAACGCTTACAAAATACTATGTAATTCAAAAAGATATATTTGTAAATGCTCGAAGCTATTAAAGGTAATTACCTAGACCTCCTTAAAGGAAGGGAGCGGCTCATAGTAGGCAAGACAAGATTAAAATTTAAATTTTTTCCAACAAAATACATTAAAAATGCAAATATGCAACAATGCAAAGAGAATGATCTCTTCAACGTGTAATATAAAGCATATAATATTAATTTTAAAAAATTAAAAATCTAATATTTAAAATGGTTTTATTCATTTTACTAATGATCAGTTTATGCAAGGAATATTAACCAGCAGATAAACTACTACGTCGGTGAGGACAGGAAACTCCTAAAAACCACCAAGTTACTTCTTTTATCAACATTGCTTGTTTAAAAAAAAATTTGAAACCTACAAGGTAAGACTCAACCTTTTTTAAATAAAAAACCTACTTAACAAATAAAAATGTTATATTTGAATCAAAAACTACTTTCCCAAAAACAAGTAGTTTACAATAATAATATAAACCATAGGGAATTTACCAATACAATGTTTGTGCGTTGGTTTCAACCTTAACGCTAAGTTTATGGTGTAAAAAAGGTTCTTGTTAATAATAAGAGAAGAACTTCTGTAGAAAGCCGCTCAAAACAAGTTATAATCTATTTAAACAGGGCATTTTTAAAAAACTATAAACTTATACCAGTCAGAAGGATTAGTTGATCCGTATTCTTGTTAGGGCGTGTAATACTAGTTTTACAGGCGGAAGCACAATGCAGCTTGTACCAGTTCACCTCGCACTCCAGTGCGCTCTCTTGCTCTGCTACTTTGTTTCCCATGCAGGGAATTTTGTAAGATATGGTTTGCGAAAAATGTAAGTTAAATTTTTTTGATCTTGTAAAGCTTAGACAAGCGTTTTCTTATATACACAAAACTACTGTAGGCGAGAGAAAGTTGAAAAAGCTGGCCTGTCCCGAAGTGTACTCAAAACTTTCTGGTAATAAAGTTGGTAAGAGCCTGGTCGTGTTAACATATACTTTGCTTCTTCTATGAGTTAAAGGCAAACCAAGGCGAGAAATTAACGAGAACAAACTGTTAACGGCAAGGAAATTGTAAAATATAAAATTACTTATCTTCTCTTATGTTTATTATTATTTTTATATGAATATTTAAAAATTGCTTATTATAGTTATATTAATATTTTTTAAATTATATGAATTTAATAAGGAGGGAAACTCCTTATACTTCGAGATGTAAAATTTGCAAACAAAAATGCCACCAGCCCAACGCCAAATACTGCCAGAAGTGCGCCTATAAAAAAGGACTGTGCGCTTTATGTGGGACTATGATAATGGACACTAAAGAATACAGGCAATCTACCACTTAAAAAAGGGATTAAAAAAATTTTTATATACAAAACTTTTTTAGAGAGGCTTATAAAGATCTTGTCAACAATCTTTCTTACAACTTAGAAAATATATTTTAATTTATTTCTTTGTGTTCCTAAGCAAAGAAAAGCTATCTAATTTCTTTGTGCATCTTTTTTTCGAGCGACAACCGCATAAACTCGATAATTGCTTGTGAAGCTTTTCGCAAAGCTGAGCAGATCTCAAAGTATTCATTTTCCCCGAAAACGCCTAATATAATCACATAAATAAACTTTCAAATTTTTTATTAAAAAAAAAACCGGTAATGTTAGTAGCCAAGATAGCCCCCTTGGGATTAGAGCAGAAGCAAAGCGTTGCGTGACACGAAGACTAAAGCAATCCACGAGATTAAAAAGATATTTAGCAGTCAAGTTTTATAAAGAAATACGCTTTGCTCTTCTTGTAAATCGGGATCCAATAACAACTTTTCTTCGTCGCTTCCTTCCAATAGGGCGCCTAAAGTTATATAGAAGATTGTATATCAAGTATTTCTACAAATAATATTTAAATTAAGTTTTTATATAGTTCATAAATATATATTTACAAAGAACAACAGATGTATATTTTATAAAACGCTTTAAAATCTTAAACACTTAAGAAATTAAGGGTTTATAGCAAAAAAATATATAATTTTAATAAAAAAACTATTGCTGACGCAAAGGTTACTCAAGCGCAGCACATTATTAATTTATAACGTACTATAATTCCAGAGATTTGATAACGAATAAAATGTACACAGTTATTATTAAAAATGAAAGTACAGGTAGCAGCAGTGAACAAGCATTTTAAAGGCACGCCAGCATCGACCAGCGCCAAGGCCATAGCATTGATACAGCAACTTAAGAGACTCCCATTGTGGTCGATAATCTAAGTTATTTTTTATTTCATAAAAAGTGAGGGAACTCTTGAATACGTAATTATAATATATATAACGCCAACAAGAATTTTCTTAGTCTTAATATTATAAAAATAAAGTCTTCTAACAAGTTTCTAAATAAATACAAAAGTTTAAATGAAGCGAAACTTTAAAAATAAAAATAAAAGCCAAGAAAAGTTAAATTGAACAAATACTCCAAAACTTAAGATCCCAGAATTTTTTAATATAAAAGAATTTAATAAATAAAATATAGTTTTTTAGATATAAAGAGGTAAGGAGAACAAAAGGAAGACTTGAAGAACAATGGAGATGGTTGTTCGGGGAAAAAGAGTTCTAATTATAATTTCCTCAGCTATCGCTTGCAACATTTTTTCAAAAGTCTTTTGTTCTATAAACTTAGTACTCACTTTAGTTCTAAGACATACATCGATAAAAGCCCTTTGAAACCAGAAAACTTAAGAATTTAAAATAAATTAATTTATGTAACAATTTAGTGCCTATCTATTAATTCTCGCGAAGACTTTGCCGATACGGGACCATTAACCGAGGCAAGTACGGTTGTGTCTCCATGACAAAATCTTGAAGAACCGTCACTTCTTTTTAAAAGGCCGATTTCACACTTTCAAAAATAATTACAGCATTTTATGACAAGAAGAAAAAAGCTCACACTTTTAAGGCTCGTAACTGATTATAGGCTCTTAGCTCCCTCCTCGACAACATTATAAAAGAACAACCCCCCGGCTCTCTGTGCAGCACAGCCTGTGACATCGCCCTATCGCCTACTCTCTACTCTCCCCTTCAAGTTAGCAATGCTTAACTAGCTCAAAATTGTCCCCTGCTGCCATGCTTTCTAGTTAAATTTTGATAGAAGCTATTTTTATGACTGCGCTATAGTTATCAACGTATATAATGGTTCACTACAGGCCTTTTCGTCATCACATCCTCATGTTGGTGCCTTAAAGTAAGAATCAGGAATCCTTGAAGGTAAATGCACAAATTTTCAAGTTTCCTGATAAGCGCGGGAAATCTGCGATATAATTTTTAGTACTAAGTTCAAATTTAGCGTCTTCCTTTTTAGCTCTTCAAGTAGCCAAAAGTAGATACGTAAATGACTTAAACATGTTTCATTCCTTCGTGGTACTATGTGTTCTAACATATTTCAATAGCAGTTAAGAGCCGCTGTACAGCTTAATACCCATATATTATTATATTAACATCCCTATAGCAAAGAGGCGTATATGTGATGAGTCTTTTCTTTGCACTCGGCATTAAACTATTAACAATTTTTAAAACTAATAAAAATATGACACCCTCAGCGCAAACACCATCACACAGTTCACACCAAGAGAAAGAGAATGACACAGTAAAATCTTTTAGTGTTTGGTATCAAACAAATATTTGATATACTAAACCACTCCCCATACAGTACGGTGTTAATTCTATTCTGACGAATTTCCACGTAGTAGTCAGCAATGCCGGTTTAAAAAATTTAGAAGGTAGGTAAAGAATTTACTAATTTTCGTCATCTTTAATAACAGAGATAAAACTTGGCTACACTAAGCCAACTTGTAATAAACAGAGATACCGGTGGTGAACTGGCTCATTCAACCACCAAGAAATGTTTAATTTTTCACTTCTTTAGCGCCTGTCATTTATAATTTTATATTTAATTGTGTGTAATAGCTAGAAATGAATAAAGTAAATGCATCTAAGCAGGAGAAGTAAACAGCACAAATTTTTAAAGTTTTTTAGACATTAGTTAGCTTAAGAAAAATGAGGTGGTTCAACAGTTCTTGCAGTTCACATGGTCGTTTTTCACTCTACTTTGAAAAACAGTTGGCCCTATTCCAGTTAATTTTTAAAAGGACGCGGTGCGGGAACTCCTTTATATGAATACTTTACGTATTATATATTTTTAATCAGAGTCGGTTGGTAGTACTTTTTTATGGGATACTTAATTATTTTACTATTTGTACTTAACTTTATCTATATATTTTGGATATAAACTTATTTAGGGATGTCAGAAGAAGAAGAAGTTAAAGATTTGCTTAACGAAGTTAAGGACGATCTGGAAGCCGATGACCCAGTTAAATTTAATTTTTTATAATCACTACTAACATAAAAATTTGTCGTGAGTATAAACCATCTTATTGTTATTCTTTACATCTTTTTTGACTAATTGTTCCAATTATGAAGTAGGTATCTTTATTATTATAGTTGGTGGGCTTCATGGTAGTATTAGTTTGTTTTTATATAGGAATTGGAAGCTATGAAGAGAAGAGTCAATGAAATGATGTCAGAACATAAAAAACTACAGGAATTGCAGGCTCAACTCGAGAAACAACTGAATCATGGTTCTCCTGGAGATAAGGAAGCCCGAGATTTGCGCTCGGTTTACGTCGGTTAACAAATATTATGACTTGGTAACATTCTATTTTTTAAATAAAAAGTTATTTCTAAGGCAATGTGGATTATTCTACTACCCCGGAGGAGTTACAGCAACACTTTCGATCTGCTGGCAGTATTAATAAAATAACTATAATGCGGGATTCCTACACCGGTTTACTTATAAGTGTTCTGACGCGCTCTTTTCTTACTTTATTATAGGCCATCCCAAGGGTTTCGCCTACATTGAATTTTCTGATCCGGAAATGGTGCCCAATGCACTTGTGATGGACGACTCTCCCTTTAAAGGGCGCGTGTTAAAAGTTCTTCCTAAGCGAACTAATATTCCTGGTCTCAAGTTAAGAGGGCGCTACAGAGGAAGGGCTCGACCTTATAGGCCTTATTATTATAGGCCACGCCCTCGTTTCCGGTTGCATTGATTCTAAATTTTATATAGAGTTCGTATTATTATCACTAACTAATTTTTTTATTTTTGAAGGAATCTTTCACTATAATTCACTTTTTTGGAAGTCGCTCTATATATGGCTTTTTTTTTGTTTCCCGCTTTCTTGTTATATTATTTTATCGGAATTTTGATTTATTGAAGACTTGAAACCTTTATATACTTTAATAGATCACTTATTTATGAGTTTGTTTATAATAAAGTATAGATTATTTACATTCTTGTTTATTGCATAATTATTATAATTATTATATTGCAAAGTATGACTTTTTACTTCCACAACTTTTATTAGTTACCTTGTGGTTTTTTAAGAATAATGAATCTGCGTATCTCAGACGGAGTATATTTATACTTTCTCCACTTTCACCAATTCTTGAACCGGTCTAATATTTTTTTTTGTCTACATGTAAGAACGCTAGTTTTCCTAAGTTATTAGGTAAATTTAGTTTTACGTTAATTTATTTTTCAAGAAGTTACTTAAAGTTCGTAAGCTTTGGTAATAGGGCCTAATGAAAACTGATAGAATTTCCCTTGTATAAATCATCTCTATTGAAGCTGTATTTCTGCGGTCATAACTTTTGTTAAAAATAAGAGACCCAAAAACCTATTGAAAAAACACTTATTTTAATATATTATGTCTTAAGAGATTGAGTCAGAGTTTTATTACTAAAAAAGTAGATATTTAAGTATAATAAACCTAAAAGTAGGAATAAACTAAGATTAACAAAACTTGAGAATATTTAAAGTATATTAAAGCAGAGTAACATTAAAGGATTTGTCAGGCTTGCTACACCAATACTGCTGAAGAATAAAGCGAAGGTTCCTTTAGTTAACCGTTAACTAATGAAGATCCAAACTATTGTGCTTTAGGAGGGCTGCTGTTCATTGCGGGGGTTATGCACACTAAACTCCACTCATCTCGAATATTAGTGTTAATTTTTTTTTTTGCTAAAACATTAAATACGAAAACTATGATAACTTGGCTTTAATAAGGCCTTCTATAGTCATATTCCCGCGTTTAAAGTAATGAAACAAGAAAGTATCTTTGCATATTTCCCAGCAAAGGTAATTAAGCTTCATCTAGTTTGTTTTGTACATAAAACACTTTTGTTAACATAATTTAGAGAAAACGTTACGATTTAGCACCTCAAAAAACTTTAGAACTTACACCAAAAAATAAGGTTGCATACTGATTGATTTGTGTTTTACTATTTTCAGAGGAAGCTATTTTAGCCTTGTCGGAAGGTGGACTTGCCTCCAATTATCCCCGCTAAAGTTCCAAACGGTATAATATGTGGCGCTCCGATTACTAGTCTTAACGAAAATAATTCTGAACCTGATAATATCTCTAAAAGTGCAGTATATGACTCAGAAGAAAGAAAAGTTAGTAATTTGACTTTACCTTATCCACAAAGCGAGACGATATCTCTTGATGCACAGAAGTGTTTTGGTTATAAAGCATCCGCGAACTCCTCTTCCCCACTTCCACCACTTTCTCCCTTAAGTCCATCTTTGAGTATACATAAAACTACATCTCAGAAGGAAGAACAACTGGAGACAAACGTTAGCTCGAAAGCTTTGTCTACTAAGAAAGCTTCTACCATATCTTCCGCTTATAAATCTAAAAATACAGTTTTATTAAAAAAGCAGAACAATGAAGAGATCCAATTTCCAGAAAAAACTTCTCGAAAATCTTTAAGTATATGTTACTTTATAGTTTAAATTTTTGATTATAACTTAACGAAACATTTTTTTTTAACTTTTAAAGGTGCTTATGAGGAAACTTTCCTTAAAGATATAACACCGAAGTACTGTTCATATATCTTTACTTTTTTGCTTGTTTCTTTTTTTTTAATCTTTACGCTTTTGCAACTTCTATGCTTTTTAAATTAATTATAAATTTAATTTTAAAAAGAGAAGGTGTGTCTTTTATAAGAAGTCATTTAATTTTTTGGGATTAAACAAAATTTTATCATCTATTTTTGGTATTTCTTCTACATCTCAACTTTTCAAGATTGCAATTCCGGTTTTTTTATTGGGATTCGTATAAAATTGAGGCGTTGCATATATAATATTCTTTTATATTATTATTAATAAACTATTAAATTTTACAATTTTGTTATAATATAGGCGAGAAAATTTTGATTATTTTGCAATAAAATAATTTTTTTTACTTTAGATTTATCTACTGCATAATACCCATTTCGTTATTTATTAGTAATATATTTTTGGAGATTTTTTTTCTCTACAAATTTGTTTATTTTATTACCAATTTTCTTTAGCTAATTTTTTTTTATAATAAACTAATTAGAACTGGCACTGCGACAAAACTTTTTTGTTCATCTTCGCGTGAAACATCTGCAGTCATTGCAAGGTTAAAGCTTTTTAAAAACCCTTAATTAAAATTTTATACTATACATTAGTGAAAATTGATTTATCCAATTTTTTTGTGCTAATTGATGCATTAATGGTTAATATTCTTATATAAATATGATTTTTAGTAATTTTTCAAATTTTGGATGCTATTAATTTAAAGCATTTTAGTAATAAAAAAAACTGTTTATTTAAAATTTTCTTTAGGCTTAAACACGATAAAGTTTATTCAGTTGGGCCTGCCTATGAAATCGGTTCAGTTTATTTAATTTTTTTTTAATCTTTAAGTTTCTGATTATTATTTTTATTAAACATAATTATTCCTTATAATACCTTTTGGCTTACTTATGCGAGATTTTACTCTGTTTAAAAGCACGTGTTCCTACCTCTACCTTTGAGAAATTTAAAAATCGCGTCGTTGCAAAAAGGTCTTAAGATGAAATTCTTTTTCTGTGCTCTGCGAATTTATAATTTTTGCTCACAGACTCGCGTCCAAACCCACTTCAACTGGGGATAGTGCGAAGGAAGACTTGGAGAGGATATTTACTTTGCCGAAAGCCTTCGAGGATTTGCTGCGAAGGTGTTTTACTAGTTATACCTTTTTATAATAACATTGTTCATTTTTTTTTCTCTGACTAGATTCACTGCGTTGGATCACGCGCTTCGTATTGAACAAAAAAAAAATCTTAAATTAACTTTTGAGAAAGCCAAAAGTTTTATTGAAAACTTAACTAAACTGTTGTTAATTTTCATTCCTTATAATTATTTTTATATTTTTTTTTTTTTAAGAGATTTTGAGAAGTCGCATCTTGGACGCTTCTTGACGGTTTTCCCGAAGGCGTTTGTGTGCGAGTTGATTCCTAACGAAGATGCCAAATTGCAAAGGAGAGGAACTGCCCGCCACGCGGAAGATTTGTCTGTCGCACTGCTTTGTTGTTATTTAGAATTATATATTGGGTAGATATAGAACTTTTTGGTATGTTATGCTCAGTCTCTTACACTTTCGTTGCCCGTCTTTCTTATTTGGGACAATCAAGTAATCTGCACCTTTTTAATTAGTTGGAAATTTCTAATTTGGGGGGATCTCTCGCGGACTCGAGAAGACGGATCCGTGAGTTTTTTATAATCCTTTATGTTATTGCTGTTTTTTGCGAACTTTCTAGGTAAAATAAATTTTTTGAATTACATAAAATTTGTTATTCAAGTTTATCTACAACGTTTTACAATCAGAGCTATAATTTCAGAGAATTCTTTTTTTAACAATTTTTGAAAATAATTTATTTTCTCTATACTTTATATTTTTATTTTAAAATTAACTTTTGCTTTGGAAAAGCTGTTTGTTTTTTATGGGTTTATAAATTATAATAATATACAAGTAAATGTAACGTAGAAGTGTTGAGTGTAGGCGCTGTTTGTACCAGTAACTTGCAAGAAGGCGTGTATTCACGTGAACCTTCTTCCTGCTGCTATTAACTTTTATTCGGACTCTTTTGTTATATGTTGCCGAATGCAAAAATTCAAAATTAATTTTTGTTTCATTAATTATAACAATTCTTACAGAATTTCTTTGAGGGCCGATTTATTTGATTCTTTCAAACTTTTTCTGTATTATAATTATTTAGATAGATTCCGTTTCTCCAATTACTATGCAAAACCGGCAGAAACAATTCAAATCCTTTCTTTATAAACTCATAGCAAAAATTCACGACGTTTGCACTTTTGTTTATAGATTATTTTTGTTACTTTTACTCTTAAAATTAATAAACTTTAGTTCATAATCGTTTAACTTTTTAATAATAATAACAGAAATTTGCTCTCGCCAAAGAAGGAGAGGAAAAGTGGAAGCGCCACGTGTCTGCCTGCCGGGAAATGGGGGAGGAGTACCCCCTCCATCCATCGTTCAGAGTAGATTACTGCTCTATATATTCACAGAAATTTGTTAATTATCTATAAAATGAGTAGATTTACGAACTTACTGAAGACGATATCGAGGTTGCTTCTCTTCCTGAACCTCCTAAGCTGGTTTTCTTTGCCCCCTGTTATATTATCGTATTAATTATTAGTATTATTTTCTTGCTTGGCTCAGGATCTTTCTCATCTTCCGAGTGCCCGAGAGTTTCTTGTGCAGCACTCGAATAACAAAGAATGGGCACTGAAAATGAAGCAGAAGTGTGCAGGACGGGCGTTAGCGGCCGGGAATAATCGCCACGAGGGGCCCAAAAGGGACCTTCAGGAAGACCGTGAAAAGCCCGCGAGGCTCTCTGCCTTTGAGCGTCTGAAGGCGCAAGTTCTTACAAAGGATATACTAAATAAAGTTTATACGTTCATTGGAATTTGTTAAGGATCAATTGCTGACCTCCTCTATTGCTTTTCCATAAAGTTGGACGAACGTGAAGCGGTAAAGCAAGCACTGGAAACGCACGGCCTCCACGCAGAAGAGCTGGCGCGCCTCGCACAGTTGCAGCGTCTTCCGCGAATGGTCAATATCATATACTCCATGGCGGCCGGTGGCCGAAAGGACTGCTGGAAGTTTGCTGTCCTTGTGGATCGCCTGCATTACTCTTATCTTCCGAAACTCGAGAAATGTACACGCTTTATTCCTTGTACTAAGGAGTTGTCTGATACTGATAATAATAATTTCTAGATGTAGTTTCTGCGTCGGTCGAACTTCTGAGCGCGGTGGTACCGTGGTGGATGGAAATTTTCAAAAACGATCTCGGTAAGGAGTTCGACGATCAGCATGGCGGCTCGCTAAAAGCCTGCTCTTCTGCTAGGAAAATTTATCCGTGTGAGGCTAGAGCACTCGCCAGAGAACGTCAAGGCCGCCCTCCAGGTGGAAATAGAAAGGGGAATGGCCCGAAAGGCCTCAAGCCACGTGGCTATGCAAGTAGCAGTGGAGCACGCAATAAAAAAGCACTGAGTTTATTATAAATCTTTTAGGCGCAGGCGCGGTATGATGTTCATCGAGATCAACTCTTGAAACAGCAGTTTGCACGCGTACGGAATCTAAAAAGGCAGTCAACATGCGTCAGCTATAGAGAGATGCGGACGAGACAAATGCCTTCAGGCGGTGGACGAAGCTGGACGACTTGCAATACTGGCACCAATCACGATCGGCAATCAACCCGCACTGACTGCATACACTCGCCTGACAAAGGGTGGGGGCCAATCAAACAGAGTTTTCTTATTAAGAACAAACGTACCAGAAACTCGTCGCTGCTGATCATCAGCCTTTCCACGAGCAGATTGGATGCGCCATACGCAATGAGACAGTCTCTAAGGCGCGCAGCAGTCAATAAGTCAGCCGATTAGCAATAGATAATGCAGCAGAAAACCTCTCCATCTCTCCCAAGCGAAGTCCACCGTCCTTGGCCCTCCCCTCCGGTGGCTGCCGCGTCAGTATAGCTTTCCGCCCGTGACCGCGCGCGTGCATTTTGTCCGTCACCATGTGCTTTAGCTTTAGTTCTACCATTAAAATTACTGCGGAGCACCACGCGCGTAGAAAAAAGAACTTTCTGATAGAAGACGGGGCCAAAGAAGATGTAGGCGCTCAATGGCTCGCCGGTAATGCCGGAGGTGACATACTCCTTCCCTTGAGTTTCGGTTAGTGAGTGTCCATGAAGGGATGCAGGCAAGTGAGTTTACCAGAGTAGCTATAGCCGTACTCTATGAGGATCCTGCACATGTCCTCCACTTTGTCTCCGCCAAATGCCGTTCTTGTACAATGTGAGCGAGTGCTCATGATATACTGAAGAAAAGCCAGACCCATAGTGGAACTTGCCAGCAAGGACACCCGCTTTCCCGCTAAGGAGTTCCAAAAGTTTACCGACTGTCATTCGAGATGGAAAGCCGTGCGGATTCATGATGACGTCAGGACAAATCCCTCCAATAAGGGGTGGAAATGAAGGTTTACCACGCGCGGCAGTCCAAGCGGGTACCTTGATCGGTAAAGGGCATATCTTCCTGATCCACAATAAGCCCAGTGACTCCTTTTTGTCCGTGACGGGAGCTGAACTTGTCCCCCAATTCCGGCCTTCGAAAGTCTCTTGTTCTTATCTGACCGTCAACTATGTTATAAGACGTAAAATGAGATGTCGTAGTCAAAACTCGCCTTGATAAGAAAGTTTTCTTCAGAATTGGAGGTGATAAGCACCTTATCGATTCTTGCAGAATTAACGTTGCTATAAACCTGAAGAGTTATTTATATTGTTGGAAATATCGATTAATTTTTCTAACATTCGGCAAGATTGTAGCATACAGCATAAACATGTAAGCAGGCAGTGCAGTAAGCGTAAAGGTACACGGGAAGGTCAACCCACCACAAGTGTTATCATAGATATAATAAGATACCAAAGGGGCGTCCTGGTACCCGGCAGTCGACTGGTCAGAGCCTGCCATATACTGGCCCACCGGCGACTTCTTGTTCACGAGGATGTCTCTGTGATAGACCTATTTTCGAGGCTCAGCTGGATACACAAAGTACGACCAAGTGCGTAGACCTCGGCACCCACGGCGGGGAGCCCGTCTTCTTCAAGTAGTTGATACCGCGCGGGAATATTTCCTTATAGGAAAGCGCCAATATACCGTCTGCTAGGTGAATTCCAGAGCACTAATACCTTCCTGGTCCCGCGGTGGGCCGTTAACAATGTCTTGCATATTATTTGCGTACGTTTTAATGTTAGTGGAGAACTTACGGTAGGCATAACAGCGGCCATAACCTCTATCTACCGAACCCTAGTGGACACAGGAATGAATGAAAAATAGGAGCAGCGAAAAAGAAGGGCAACCTTGTTGAGTATAAGCGCATCCTCAATGTCATACCCGGAATAAGACATGACCGCCACCATTGCATTTTGGCCAGCAGGAAGTTGTGTGTAGCTTGTTGAAGTAGAAGACCAGCATGTATGAGGAGCACGGCGGGTAAATAGTACCCCGTAAGTTCGAGCGTGCGTGTGATCACGAGGGGGCACTGCGGATACACCAGCATGTAATTGAGGGTGTCGAAGCGCATGAGCTGGTTAAGCGCAATAATGCCTACAGCCTGCTTGCCTGCGCTATCCGATGAATAACCAAAACTACCATGCGATTTGCATAAGTAGAGGACCCATCGCACACTGGTACGTATTGCGAGGCGACTGGTTGTGATGAGGATACGGCACAAGGCCTGCGCAGACGCCCAAGAGAGTGAAAGGCTCGATCTCCATGTGCGTGTGGTCGGGAGTGATGTCGTCCTCGGAGATGGCTATCAGACTAGCGTTTTCCTCATTGACGTCCAGATACTCAACGATCCCCTCCTTCAGGAAATCTTCAAAGTCCCTCACGCCCTGCAGCTGTGTTAGTAGTATTAAACATAATATGAAAAAGCGAATACTTCTTTAAGTTGCCGGATGTGCTCGTGGGTAAGCAAAGACTTTCCATTGGCGACGATGATGTAGGGACGGCAGACTCGACCGCCGTCGCTCGCAATGTTAATACTTCTCTGAGCGTGATTGGGATACGCCGAAACAAATTCCGATAAGCGGCCACTCCTCCGCAACTTCCTGAGAGTCGCCAGCTTATAAAAAAAATTCACATGATCGACTGCAAATAGAAGTGCAAAGTAACTCACGATGTACTCCCAGTGCTGTGTTAAGCCAATCAGTAATCCATTAATAAAGACGACATATACATGAGGCAAGTTCAGCTCTTCACCGGACGCCATATTAATGTCTTCCACGCCCTGCGAAGTGCATGGAGTCGCAGTAAAAAAGCAAGGAGAAAGAGAAAAAGAAGCGAACCAATGAAAAGGCGAGATGTCGCAAGTGCTCGTCATCATCGTCGGTAGTGATGTGCGTCATTAACGCCAAGTTTTTAACAAGGCCACACGACTCGCCCTCTGGCGTATCACTGGGGCAGAGCATACCTTTTACCTAACCAGTGAACTCGTGAAAAAGACGAACAAGTTGCCAAGGGCTACCCCACTGGGACGGCTGTAGCGAGCGGGGGCCGGAGACCTTCCGGGTTTTTTCGAATTGGGAATAGATGCGCGTCATCATGCCCAGAGCAGATATAAACGAAAGCCGATCCAACGGCTGTCTTGTGCGACGGAAAGCTGAGGCAATGCGGACGTGGATGATATATATGTGAACGGCACCGCTGTGACGCCGCCTCTGTCGACACCAAATCGGGCAATCGTCCAGTTTCCGGTAGAGATGGCCCTGCGTGCGGGGCAGACCGTGAATGCGTTTCTGGAAGACTGGCGGCGGGCTACCTTAAAAAGCCGTCTGTAATGATCTTGAGAGGCATATTTCTCACCACGTTGAATCTTTATAATTGCCGTAAGCAAAGAAAAAGAATTTCCAGCCAAAAAAAACAAGGCAACCTCATTGCTCTGTTTCTCTTAGAAAATGCAAGGTCGACGCTTTTCTTCAACTCGGCATTGAAGTGTTTAAAAAGGTCTTCAAAAAGCAGGGAAAGAAGTGTCCCCGCAAGTTCCAGGCGCTGTGGCTCAGTGACAGTCAGCATTTTTCGCAGAGGGAGGCAGGAGATACCTTGTTTCCGTAGTAGTCTTTATCATCTACAGGCACAGTGCCATTCAGGGCCATGATTATCCGCCGCACCATAAGTAGGAGATAAATGCAGCGCGTCCGCATGTTCAGCCCGTCTACTGGGATATGCGCGAGCAGCACGTCCGCGAGAATCTGGTGACAGAAAAGAGATACCGCAGAGCGTAGAAATGACCATGTGGGGTCGAGGGGCAACCCACCAGCTGTGCATCACCCACGGCAGAACCAGTGGTCATGCGGGATCTGCGAACCCTCAAACTCAAGTGCTTCAGAGCCTGCTTTCTCGTGAATATGCCGAAAAGCGCGCACTCCTCGAGGGTAGCTGCGAAGGCGTCCAAATACATCCCCTCGCTGCCGACCAGCTGGACAATCTCTTGGTCGCACTCCATTCCTTATTGGTAGAAAGTCAGCAGGGGGGAATGCGGAGAGGGCGGGACAACCACTCACCCATCGCCTTCAGGAGAACGGCAACGTTGACGTCTTCAGTGAGAGAGTTAAGTCGCACGTAAAACTTATTATTCTTGTGGACAACACTAGTTTTGCTCTTTCTCAAGTGAGTCGAACTGCCGGGGACATAAAGCGTCGCCATCGCAACAAAACTTTCACATGAAACGAGCAAACCTCTGAACGGTGGAAAAGTAGCCTTTTTTCGGGTCCCTGTCCACAATAGTTCTATTCTTCGATAGCTGCTCTTGAATAAGAATCACTTTCTCAACGCCCTTAACAATAAAATAACCACCTTAAAAAAAATCAAAATTGAAAGCCCGGCAAACATATGTATAATGGCATACCCGGATCTAGTGGGCATTCCCCACGTTTGGCTAGTTGACAGAAGGATTTTTTATAAAGATGACACCTGTTGGATCTAAGCATGACGGGAAGAAAACCAATATTAATGCCTGCCAGAGCGGTAATTTTAAATAACATTATATCTGGAACGTCTAAAAGTTACCCTTCTCAAACGTTCTTTCGTTTCCTATGCAACACTCAAGATCAACCCTAATCGGCGCGGAGTAACCTAAAAAAAGTAAAGGAGGAAAGAAGCAAAAAACTAGGCAAATAATTAACTCATATCTCTCAGCCGGCATTCATGCGGATAAATCTTTTTTGTTCCTTGAATGTCAATCTCGCAAGGCATATCGACATATATATTATGATATCTCACCTTTTTTATAATACAAAATCATAGAAACTCAATATAGCTATATAAAAACTTAAAGCGTACATAAAAATCAGAGTTTTCAGAAGATCTAACTTCTCTGTTAGCAGACATAATATTACTCATTTCGGTTTCAACAAAGTGATTAAAAGATTCTATATGTTGTTTTACGAGACCTTTCACTTTTAAAAAAGCTGGTAATAACCTTCACGTTAAGTAATAGAAATATTTAATAAATAATTTCTCTTTCAAAATATATTCAAACAGAAACCTCCACTTTTCTTTAACACAAACAGTTTCTGTGTCAAGGCTCTCTCTAGTTTTTAAAACTACATCACTTTCATTTTCAGTTTTGTTAACAGTCATTACTGTAAAGTCCCGTAGCAGCTAACTCATTTGCAGCACCGCCACTCACGGCGAGATAGACACGTAAGACCTCCACTACAGTGGCTATTAATTGTCTCGCGATCTTTCCGCCGACTTATATTCATTAAGACTATTACGTTGAAGTCGCTATAAAAATGACGAAAAACAAGTAAAATCTTCAGCTTTACAACTGATGTTATACTACATTGAAAATTTGTACAAAAAACGATGTGGGGCTTAATATAGTTGCCTAAAGTAAAATTTGAAAAGGGGTATGAACTTGTAGCTAGATTTAGATTATATAAATTTAGAAAAGTTGTATGGAATATTATTTCTCGGCTACCTTACAGTACAATAAAAAATCAAATTGGTATCAGAGGCGGAAGAAGGAATTTAACGTCTTGAAAGGAAGGCAAAAATTTGCTTTATGTGTTCGCCTTAAAATGGATATTAAAGTACCAGAGAAGAAGTAAAACTAACAGAGATACCTCAGAATTAAATCTTACGGATTATAAGTGATAAAGACGAAAGTTACTGATAAGTTTTTAACGATTTACACCTAATAGGACAATAGTTTTTACTGATGAACAATTCCTTGTAGGGCTTGTCTTTAAGTTATGCCCTACTTTGATTCATTTAAGTCCAGAAGATCTGAGATGGAGCTATGGCAAGCTAACTCAAAGGACCCTTCTAGCTTATTCATCTTGGACCCTTCGAGTTAATATGTCAAGAGTTTAGTAATGAAAGAATTTTATTCTTTAACCATTTTTTTTGAAGGTAGCTTAAAGTAATTTTGTTTTTGAAGATCGGAAGGAAGTAGCTTTACTATAATAGGGGCATTTTAAGTTAAAAAAATTTGAAATAAAATATATAATAACAAGTAAGCTAGACGAATATTCCTCTGTTTAATTTGTTTTAACTCTTTTTATAGTCTTTACAAAAAACAACGGTGGAAGAATAATTTAAGCCAAGAGGAATTGGTTATTTTGGTGTTAAACAGTAAGTAGGTACAATATCCACTTATATCCTCAAATATCTTCGTCGTGAAAAAACTCAGAGAAGAAAGTGGCAGCTTGGTAAAGATTGAAAAGATCGTTGTTATTAACGGTACTTGCTCCTCTTATTTATCTCAAACATATTATGGTAGGTCCTTAACTTTGTATAAATACATATCTTAGAAATATCTTTAAATACCCCTAGCGTTTGCTTTCTCTTGAAACCTTATTTTAAACAATATCTGCTTATTACTAAAAACTTTAAAGAGATTTAAGATGATTATGTTTAGAAAAGTAAGTTATTCTCTATCTTTAAAATTTATATACTAACGTTTCAATTAAGAATTTAAGAGACTTATGTTAACTTAATACCTATGAAAAGGTTAGTGGTCTCGATTAATAAATGATAAAAATAGAGTTTTCGCATAGTAATAAAACGGAGTTTTTAATTACTTTGCCGAATCTCTTTAGAAAATTCGAGTTAAAACTAAATTCGTGCTAGAAAAGGTGTCTTGAGAATTAAATTTTTCTATACGTAACAGAAACTATACCGAAAGCGTCCGCTGGCAATAAAAAGGAGACATCGTTTACAGCGCACTAACATAATAGCAAGAATTATCCCAGCTAAGCAATTCACTGAACTATACTTCTAAGTTGAAAGACACTTAGACAGTTTTTAATCGTAGCATCGGGTCAACAAGTTTCAAATTGGACTTGAAATCTCACGCAGGGTTCATATCAAGTACACCCCTTGGTACTTTAGTATAGGTGGCTTATCAGTTACTACCGCGCTTAACTTACTAGAGAGCTAGCAGGCTACTAGCACTAGACACTATTTATTTTAGCAGAAAATCTGCAGCCAAGATAAGAGCGCACGTTATCGAGAAGAGAAAGTGGTTGTTCTTCTTTGTATCCAGGGAGACCTTAATACATTATAGGGCTGTTGGCCAATAGTTGAAACCAGCAAAATACCTCCACTAGTCACAGGTACTTTAGAACTTACTGAAGGTTTTTCCTTTTAAAAAAGTAGTTTCTAACCTCGCCTAAGCAACTTTAGAGCTCTTAGCAGTACAGGCAAACCTCGTAAGCACGATCAACAATGGAAGATATCATAATCATAAGCTCCTATTTGTTTTTTCCTGGGCTCAAAAACTTCGGATCTCCCCTAGTTTGCTTCTGTTGCTTATATCTACTTTTATTGAAAAGGAAGCCGGAACATGGACTTTTCGCTCTTCTCTCTCTGAATTGGATCCCCACAAAGGATGCAGAAGGCCATTACAGAGGAGAAAGCGATTGAAAAAATAAACAACGAGGTTACTTATTAAGACTTGAAAAACCTTTCATGAAGAAAAAAAGAGGCAATTTATGTCATACCAAAAACAACACGTGGAAGGTCACGTACTAAGCCGCATGTTATGAACACATGCACCAAGCATGCCAGAGTAACGTGGTACATCAAGCAGGCATATATACATGGTTTAAGAGTTAATTTTCACAGCGAATAGAAGCTCTCAGTTTCAAAGCTCGTAAGCAAGCTTAAGTTGCTTGCAGGCGGCTACTGCTTGCATATAGCGATAATATTGTTTCAAAAGACGGTAAGGCGACTACATGTGAATTATAGTGTAGAGTTTTTACACAATTAAAAGCGCGTCCATCATAATGCGCGGCAGTTTCATTTGCCGCGGACTTTAAGGAGCTCCGCAATAAGGGCTTACATTATAAATTAGTCGCATGCACAATACGTACGATAACCATTTGTTGCGCAAAACCTGCTATTTATGAATATTCTATTATTGACAATTTCCCTTAGGTACTTCGAATGAAAGCACTTCAAGCCATTTGAGCCTATAGACACCGATGCTAAAGCGCGATTCTTAGTATAAAAAATCGTCTTGCTGTAGAGCGGGAGGTTATATATCGCCCAATTTTCTGTCTAGAGGTTTACTCGCTTTTTAAAGGTCAGCCGTTAGGGTCGACTTTCCGTCCTCCACACGCGTGCTGAAGCACAGAGCCGTAAGGATAAGATTTGTGCTCACGCATTTTTGTGAAGCAAGCCCTCATACCTTCTTCGGTCGAAAGCTTTTTTCAAGTGTGAAAAAATGGCTACATTGACCTTCTTAGAGTATAAAAGGTCTCGGTCGTCCACTCTATCACAGAGGCTGTTGAGTCTTTGAGCGTTCCAATTGAAGACCAAAGCGGAATTCCAACAAGGTAGCGTGAGCTGTAAAGACCGCTAACAGGAGAATGATGGACTGTTTTTGTTAAAGAGGATAACACTGGTAGCAGAATGTCACGATAAATCCTCGTCAAAAAAATTTAATCTAAAATTTATTGACTAAGTAAGCGGTAAGATGGTTTCAGGTGTTGGTAAAATTATTGGCGTACCTCCTCCAGTGGGATTAAGGTTAGGGTTCTTATCAATTTTAGATCCACGCCTAGTATCTAATTATCATATCGATACTGTTACATTAGTTACTAACAGCCCTAACCTTACCTGCACAACTTTTGGTCATTTCCCTAAACTCTTTCTTGAATTGCGAGATCATAGAATTGCAATTATTACACTTAATTCTTGTTGGGTTATATTGCGTATACATAAATATATCTCTTCAATTTTGATACACTTTTAACTACCTTTACTATATCCTGTATAATAAGACTTCCCGCTAGAATATATAGGCTTCTGTTGTTGTTTCCTAGCTTTTTAAGGCTTTTACTACTTTCCAGAATCTTAGAACTTTTTGTTAGGCTTTAGAATGAAACTCCGCTTTTTATCCACTTTCTTGCTACCTCTTTAGCGCTTGACTAATATTAGCTCTTAATTCGACATACTTTTCTACCACATTATCTAGTGCTCATTTTCTGCGTAGAAGATTTTAACGAACTGGTTATCACTTGTATAGCCTTATAACGGATTACTCGCACAAAACTGGGGGGTGAGCTATAGTACTTTATTTATATGTTTTTATAAACGAGTTTAGTCTAATTACCTTTATATTATGATTTAGTAATGGTTTAACTAGCCTCATTCTTAATCTTACCCTTTTTATAACACCCGATTCCCCTAAAATGGTAAGAAATGGCATTATTTTTTTACTGTTAAATGATAAGCTAAATATTTTAACATTATTTATAATATTACGCCATTATTATGTAAAGTAATCCTAATTATTTTTGTGTATACATAATCATTAAGGAGTTTTTAAAATTACATCGTTAATACGTTTAAAATTTTTAAAAGTTAGAATTAAATATCCTGACCTTATGTGTTTAACCTACGTTTGTGTTTTCACTTAAACGCTAAATTATCGACAGTTATATAATATCGTACATAACGAAAGGTGAAAATGTTTACATATTATGTAATTTTTGTTAGTTGTTTATATTAAATTTTAAAAATAAAGCGACTAGAGTTAAAGCTAATATTTATCATAGTCCGCTTATGTCTTTCTTATGAATTTCGATAAATAAATAAAGAGTAGCGTTCCTTTGATATACTAAGGGTTTCAATATTTTTTTAAAAAAAAATTAAACATTGTGACGAGCAGACGTTGTTGTGAGTTAAATTTAAGACTGTATTCTAATAGCATACAAATTACGCTCGGTGATGAATCTCGTGACAAATATTGCCATACTTCTTTCTGCCATTTAGTATAACGATATGATCTTCTTTACAAAAAAATGGAAAAAAGAAAAATAAGGAGGGTTTTTTTAAATTTACATCAGTACTAAGTGAGAATATTATTAAATAATCTGATTAGATAAGTTATCTTCACTAAACTCCACTCAACACGCATTAGTTAACTGACCGATGAAATGTGCGCGAGGACCGGTTGGCAGTGTTTTCCCTTTGCGCTTTGTTAACAATAATATCTTCCATAGAGACTTAAGCATTGCACCAATTAATTAGTCTTTTTCTCTACAAGGAGGTAATTTAACGTATGAATGAAGCTGAAAGCATTGTCTCTGACAGCATTCTCCAAAAGTTGGTAAAAGCGGTCGAGAGTGATCTTACCGCAGACCGGGTTATTGTTATTTAAGAACGTATAAATTACAATTTTAAACTTTTCAACTCGTGTGTAAACTGCTTTTAGCAAACTCCATCAGAAGTCATTGTACCGGCTTCCTCTCTTTGTTGGCGATGTCACTCCCCTGCGAAGTACAAGTGCCCGGGGTGTAGTTTATCTTCTTGTAGTTTACCTTGCGTTAAATTACATAAAATTGAAAAAGACTGCAACGGTACGGTAGTAATCTTTGCGATATATATTTAGGTTTTTCCTTACTCTTATTAGGGCAACGGAAAAGAACAACTTTCGTTTCCCTTAAAGATTTTACTGATTCTCAACTCTTGAGTGGTAGACTTGTTTTTTTTATTTTAATAACTTTTTTTATTACAATTAATTAAAAAGATTTTAAATTTCTTGAGGAAATCCGAAGTTTACCAGAGAAAAGTAAGAGAACTTATTTGCGAAAGGGTTCCTTGTCCAGACGAGTGTTGCTTTACTTTTAACTTATTTATACATTTAAAATTTTAGTAACATCTTCCAATTGCTTATATATTTTGACTCTGTTTTTCGTTAATATTTGATTTAAAAAATTTTTAATTTTTTAAATTACTAAATTTTCTTATATTTTTTTTTTTATTTTTATTAATTTTTTTGACTACAGTTATTATTTTATTACGTATAAGTCGTCCTCTAACTGATAAAACGTCCATTATAGCAAAAGTGCTTGACTGTGCTTTTCAAACCTATACTAAATTAAATAAAGAGATTGTGTTATAACTTTCTAAGAGAAATTTCAAAATGTTTTTTTATTATTATTTATTATATTTGTTTTACATATATAATATATATTTTTATTTAAACATTAGTAAACGACATTTTAGACAATTAATATATGTAATTAAATTAAATCCTATTTTGATCCTGACAGAGCTGTGATGCACTGCCCAGCCGATTATTTAATTATATTATTGTAAAAAGTTCGTTTTCCTTTTTTTAGTTTTTGAAATTATATTTAATAACCTCGAGAATACGATAACTTTGCTGATAGTGTGCTATTTCTTTCCTAAGTTAATTAATAAAATCTTCTGAAGCTCTATTAATGCGTAATTTATAGTTTTAAAAAAATTGCTTTTTTCCTTTTTAGTTTTTTACTTTTTTTTTTTTACTTTTCTGTACTAAATACAGCTTAACTATTTGCTTCATCAAATAAAATAATATGAAGCTTAATTCAATTTTTTTAATTGACTAAATTTCGCTCGTTAGTTCGAATTTTTGATTTTTTAATAAATTGCTTAATTAATTATTTTATTAATAAATAATTCAATTAATATTATCATATTAGGGGAGCATTCTTAAGAAAGCCTGTGTTAAAAGAAAAATTTTTCTTTCCTTTGCTCCGCTAAACTTTTCCTTTAGAAAGAAGAATCCGTCATTCTTTGACATCCAGTCTTTTTGGATTTTTTTATAATTTTATTTTATATCAATTTTTTGTTGTTTGTAATTCAGATTTTTATTTCAAGATGTTTGTGGATTTATTTATTACCAATAGTTTTTCCAAGAAACTACTATTAGATTATTTACAGATCTCAAACTTAATAAATTTTTAGCGCTTATATAACTTGAAATTTTATTAGTGGCGTTAACTTTAGATTAATTTTGAAATTAATACTTATATAGTTTAAAGAAATATACACTATAAAATTTATGTAACAAAGTATCGTTTGTAACAATAAAAATCCAATCTAAATTGTAGAAAGAATTGCATTTTTTGGAAAGTTTCTTTTAAGTTTATAAAACTGAAGCGCCAGCTCCACTTGACGAAGTTATTACTTTTATACTAGAGAATTATTAATAGAAAAAATCTAAAAATCTTGCACGATTAGTGTGGCGGAAACGGCGATGTTCCAAGAAGTGCTGTTTGGTGGTTTTGAAACATGGATCGGCACCGCTGAAGACGAGAGCGACAAGGAAACGCTAAAGCTCTACCGCTCAGCCGGCCTTCATAATTTAACTGTCTTTCTGGAAAGCCGCCCCGCAAGAGTACAGCTTAGGTGTTTCCTGCTGATTTTAATTGACTAAAGATTTTTTAAAGATCAAGATTTCTGCCGAATCAGAGATGACACTTCGCCATTTGCTGTGCGGGAAACAAATCATCGAACATCCCGTTTTTCTTGTTTGTTTAAAAACGGAATGCGAGGATTATGAATCGCTGTGCTTACTTGAAGATGTTGAAAAAAGCAGCAGCAGTTCTGCTTCTAAAAGTTCGAGTTGTAGTGAGTATGCCGACATTTAGTGAATCGCAGCCGATTAATAGTAAAATCTCTTTAAAAGCCTCAAAAACAGTTAAAAAGAAGTGCGTTACTTTGTTATCGGTACTTACAGGCCGTTGCTGAAAGATAATTTCGTGGTGGTATTGGCTATTTTAAATAAAGAACAATGTTTTGAGATGGCATTTAGCAAACTATCTTTAAAAAAAATTGTGGCAGTAAAAAATGCTACATATTCTACTGAAATATTTTTAAGTAAAAAAAGGCTGATAAAAAATGGTTATAAATTTAATTGGTTTTAGTGAGGTAAAGCCAAGTTATATAAAAAGAAGAGATAAAATTTTACTTACATTTATAATTTTAGAAAATAAACGCAAAAAATAAATGGAGTAAATACCTTACTGACACTTTCTCTCGTTCCACTAATAATATAACAGAAAGACAACTTTAATCTTTTAAGTTATAGACATTAAAAATTTAGTATATTTAATACATCGAGTAATATCTTACCTACTCAAGCAAAAATGATTTCAATAAAAAAAGGTCTAGTAACAAGTATAAGTTACATAAAGCACCAGAAGGCGCATTGGTCAAAAGTTTACACCAAAGTATTGACTTGCGTTATTTATTGGCCTTTTCTTTTATTTTGCCCAATAAGAATTCGCTATTACAATTATACCGTAAAAGCCTTTGTTCTTACCATCCTCGTGAACGACTCTCGCGCTGTAACTTTTGAGGTAAACGCAGGGGCGTTGCTCGGTCATTGTATCTTTTTTTTGTAAGTGACGCTCGTAAGTTATCCACCTTCTGTTGTTTTATGTAAACTAAAGAGGAAGTAGTAGATGTTGTTTGAATAAATGGCTATTAAAAACTTAGACTTATCTTTTAAATTATCTTTTTTTCTATCATTAATTTTTGTCTTTTGAGCAACTAATTTTTGTTTCATTAAGGATGTTAATTTTTTAGAAGTTTATAATGTCAAAACCTGACCCAAATGGTAATACAATGCCCGGAAAGGAGCCCCTTATTAAGGAGCAAGACCGATTTCTACCCATTGCCAACATTGCTAGAATTATGAAGCGTGCTATACCCGAAAATGGTTTGTAAGCCCGCTTTCATTAGACTTATATTCTTTTAGTCATTCGCAGTTTCTTTTCATAGGTAAAATGGCCAAAGAATCCAAGGAATGCGTCCAGGAATGTGCCTCAGAGTTTATTAGTTTTATTACTAGCGAAGCTTCTGATAGATGCCACCAAGAAAAGCGTAAAACTATTAACGGCGAGGATATATTATGGGCTATGCAATCTCTTGGCTTTGATCCGTATATAGAGCCTCTTAAGCTATATTTGCAGCAGTATAGAGAGTCTATTAAAGGGGATAAAGTCAGGGAAGATGAAGAGGATGAGGGTAGCGGTGGTTGAGTTATTATTTGGCTTATTGTGTATATATTTTGATTAAACAGTAGATTAAATGTTTTTGCAACAACCACGGAAGTTTAATTTTATTTTAGAATTTTGTTGTTAGTTTATTAGCTTACTTATTTTTTATTTAACATATTATAAGTTATTAATATTACCAATATAAGTTTGGCTTCTCATCTATACATATGTTCACAATCACAGCTCATTTTACTTCTATGTACCTATAAACTGTTTGAAAGTAGTAATTGAAGTGTTGTTCAACATTTGCAGGAAAGTTTTTAAAAAGCTTAGTGAAAAAATACTTACAGCTTTAGGTTTTGGAGTATTTTTATAAAGGTTTAAACGATTTCAATCATTTACTTTATTTAAATTAGATATTTTAAATTGTGAAATTTTATATAAAATCTTTTGAAGGCAGTTTTAGTACTTATTTGTACTTTGTTTTCGGGACGTTTACTCATTTTTTAAAGAACTTTAGTTAATATTAAAACTTAAGGGACCCAGTTTTCTACATAATCTAAAAAATTTAAATGTTTGTATTTTTTTTTTTAAAGAAAAAAAAATCATTTATTTAAATTTTGAGAAGGTTTAAATATACTACTCCTTACATTATTGGCTTTAAGTGAAAACGTATATTACGGATGAAACTTGAAAAGTTAAGAATAAAGTTGTGTGGTGTTTTATTTCGACGTTTTTCTCTTTCCGTTACCCCCGTCTTTGAGGCGGAATCTTTAAATAAATTTCGTGAAGGAAATAGTTTTTTAAGCTCACTCCAATTTTTTTGAGTATATCATCTTTCTTTAAGACTTTTAATTTCGAATATTTAATTTTACGGATAACATATTCATTATACTTATGACCTATTTAAGCAACCTTTATAGGCCATTTATATCATTTTCACTCATATGGCACTTAAAAAATTTAGTTTTTTTTAATTACATTAAGCAAGTCTACAGTTTCTTTTATACAATCCCCTTAAAGGATGTCGCGTACGAAAATACGTTGTAATAAAGGTTGTTGCTAATATTTTTATAACGCTAATATCCGTTTGAAGCAAAGAAGCATGCAAATTTAAAGCGTTTAATAAAACTTAGAGTTAAGAAGAGATACAACTGCTGACTAATTTTTAATTCTAGGACTTGCTAAAGAGAAGATGTTTAAAATTAGACTTAATAAGAGACTAAAGAATAGTTTTTCGCTTTACTAAAACTTCACTAAAACGAATTTTAACTTATTAGTTTCGGTGTTGAGTAACTTTTTCTCCTGCTATCATTAATCAGAAGCTTTCTTATTTATCTTTTGTTTGCATATTGTTTACCTCTGTTTCTATTATAACTACTTTTCTTTTCAACTAATATTTTAAACTTTATCTTTTCCACATAAATATTGTTTTTTATTATTTGAAAGCTATCAAAAGCTGTAAAATTGGTCAGCTTAATTGTCTGAAAAAATCTTATTAAACTGTGTTTTTTAGTTTCTTAGCTTGGGGAATTAAGTAACTAGAATTAAAGTTGAGAGGTCGGACGTAACCAAGTTTAAACAATTTGATTGCGCAGTAATAATTCGTGTGATAGCGATTAAACACACCTACATATTCCTTATAATTTTCAAAAAAGTTTTATCCCAAAGGAAGATCCGTTGAAGTACCTGTAATAACCGACTTGTTTGGAAATAGTACTCCTTCGAGCTTTTTTAAGTATATAAGAGGAAATTAAAAAAATAGTTCACGACTTTAGAGTTGGCTTAAAAATTTTCGATACTACCATCACCTACTAGCAAACTAACTTGAGGATAAATTTATTTTATCAGCTCTATATACTTATACATTTTTCCTTTTCTCATTTTTCTTCACTATGTCCGGAACCTTTCTTTCTATCGCAATGCTTTTGAGTCTACAATAATCCTCAATTGGTAGCAGGGCATAACAGCAGTGGCCTCTGTAAGGAGGGACCACGTTAGTTCTTCATTCCTCAACTCTTTTCTCTTAGAATACCTTTTTCAGGCTTTAAATATGAAGGAAGTTGAAAGAGTTGTTCGTAAATGTTGTACTAAACTTGACAAGTATATAAAGAAGGTTTATATTTTCTTGTACGTTACTGTGGGTACCTACTTATCGCAACCTTTAGAAAGACTTCAGTATTGACAGTGGCGTAATTCGCGTTTTAAAAACTTTGCAAAAAGTAACCATGAATCGTTACCTTTTAAAGGTAATTATTTATATAAAGTTAAATACCATATTAGTTATACGTGCAAATTATACTTATTTATCTTCTTACAGTCTACTAAAATTGGCTCCAAACTGAACGAAATGAGAAAAAACACTAAAGTTCTGGCTCCAGAAATTTCTATGTTAGGCAGAGCTATAATTAAAAAATGGAAGCAAGAAGTTGCTGAAGATACTACACGGCATTCCAAAAAAGAGTCTTCTGATAAAAAGTTACAAGCTTGCAGTAGTGTCACGGGACCCGCCCCTCGAAGTAAAGAAGAATTCTCACCCAAACCAATTTTATTGTCCGACCATTTGAATAGCCATCACAGTAAGGAGACCATGTTCTCAGCTGCTAGCCTTCTTGTAGATTCATCTCCCGCGGAGGCGAACCTTCCAGAAGCAAAAGTGGAAGTAGCCTTTCCTGTTTTTCAAAAAACAGTTTTCACTCATTCAGCCGCCGATGCAGCAGATTCTTGTATTCAAGAGGAGACCAAGAAAGCACCTCAAAAGTTTAATGTTCCCACGGTTTTGCTTAGATTTTATTCTCTAGACAAGTCTTCTGAAAGTGATCCCGCTATTAAAGAATCACTCGTAAGGATTGCGAATGGCGAGAGAAAGTGGATAGGCGTGGATGGAGTACTTGATTTCAACAACAATTGGCGGCCTTGGCGAGAAGATTTTTTTTCGCCCTTTTTAGAAAGTGATCTGGGAAAAGTAGCCCCTTACACGTTTGTCCTTCGAAAACACAGCTGAACTATTACACCTACTTGGTTCAACATTTTGTTACATAAAGTTAAACTAAGCAGTAACTAGTCAAGAACAAACATGATACTATCAGGCAAAGTAAAAAGTTTAAAAAGAAGAGGTCCTCGGAGGATTTGTGCAGCCTCGTATCCATACATGAAATCAAAAAAAAATGAACTAAGAGAAGCTAGTAAGCCGGGATGAGACTTTTTAATGTAATTACTTTCTGTCAATTAAAAAAAAGAAGGGTTTTCATTTATTGGTTAGAGGTATAAGAAAAGCGAAGAAGTTTGGGGTCTCCCAGTTTCCTGATAACGGGCATTTGTTAATATAAAGTGATGTATATGTTCAGAAAGTACAGACCTGGGATAGCGCGCATGGCATGCTATGAGGAGGAACCCCAACACAATATAAACTACGCCCGTTATAAAAAAGTACGTGCTCAAAGTTGCGTTCCCTCCCCCAAAGTAGGTTGTTGTCGTGAAGAAATAAAATTTTCGGCCCTCGAAAATGGTGGAGGGGTAGTCTCAAGTGCAAATTATTGTTAAAAACAATGCCAGGCAGCATATTTATTAACAATTACTGTATTCGATGGTCAGTTTATAGTTACCGCCCTTCAGTGGAGCATGAAGAATGCGATGCAGCTTTCGCCAATCCGGGGTAGCCATTGTCCTCATCCAGACGATGAGGTCTTCGTTTTCATAGCCCTTGAAAGGGATACCATCCGTCAAATGTCTTTATTAACAGATACAAACCAATTAACTTGCTTATTCCCACCTCCGCCAATGGACGTCACGTCGTAGTCTGGCCAGCTTCCGGGCGCCGCTGTATTCTTAAAGGCCTCCTTCAAGTCACCGGGAGGATTCCTAAACTTATCGCGCACGTCTGCCAGTGGAACTCCAGTTAGAGTGGGCCACTTGTAGAGACAATGTTAGTTGCCTGTGCTCCACGCGATCCCTTCGCCGTCCATTCTTATGTGTTCATCCGCTAAGGCCGCGCTCTTCACCAGCGTAAAAGAATCTATTGACACATGCCTATGATAACGATGCCGCGGGATGTCTGCAACTAGGAACCGTTAAAAAGAGATTCGGCAATGAGTCCGCAGGGGGCAATTTCACGATCCGTGTTATCAATAGCCAATGAACCGCAAGGGGTCTCGTGGTTGAGGCCTAGTAGTGTAGAGGCTGAGTAATATAGCCTTTAGACAGGTAAATCTAATTCTTAAGTGAGGTCAAGGTGTTCTCTTCTTTTATTTTGTATAATGAACTTTTTTTTTCTTGTTGTGCGTTCACACGTTTTCTTTAAACTAAGACTTTTCAGCTCTTATTCCACACGACTACTGATGACCGCAATATAGATAAAAGTACGTTAGAAAACCTCTGCCAAGAAGTTGCTTATCATCACGAGATCGTACATACTGGCGATAATTCTGATAATAGCCTCGAAAGCCGTAGTAAAAAAAGACCTGGTTTGTAAAGTAGGAAGCATTAAAGAAATAAAATCTAAGAGGAACAATGAAAAGTCTTATAACAGGTTCGGGAGTGTCCGCTGTTATAGTAAATTCGTCGATGCACTGGCAACGTAAAGAAGAGGCATTTTGATAAGATTTGTATAAAAGATCCGCACAACTTTTATTCCAAGAAGTAACATCCTTCCTTTCCTATGTATAATATAGACGTGTATCTGGCCTGTCAAAAAGTATATGTTCTGAACTAAAGACCTTTAATCTATTCTACCTTATTTACTAGAACACTTTGGGCAACACAGTGAGTATAATCAGTTTCAAAATTCCATATCTGAAGTGTAGAACTACAATTACCGCTAACTTAAGACTCACAATAAAATGTTACTTTACGCGAAGCAGTTAACACGCCAACTCCAATAAATAAAAAAATCACACCAGCGATAACTAAGATGAAAGCGGCTGAAGCAGGTGTGTATATGGGTTGCCAAGCATGCAAATTCTGTTGATATAGCTCAGTGTCTTAAAAAACAAGAAAAAGAAATCTCAATTATGAACAATAATTAAAATTTTGTTAATACCTTTCGGTCTCCGCGAGTTGGCCATCACTCTTTCGTGAGCAGAGGTAATTGCTCTAAAATATTTTCAAAATAACGAGTAGGTGTTCATGCAAGTAGTCAAAAGGTCAAATACTAATTGGCAACATTAACCGAGAGGAGTTACAGTAACCATACAACCACACTTTAGCGACCATTTTAAGCTTCACGTACGTTATTCGCTTATAAACTTAACTAAACGGCTCGGTAGGTAGTACTGATATGGTATGTTAGCGATACCTTAACAAATGATGTTCTGCTCGCGCAATGAAAAATCAAACACGAGCCCCACTAATAAGAAGGCAAGCGAAAAAAGCAACAAAAAATGAAAAGGAGATGTAATAAATGAGGAAAAACCCGTTGCCCGTTTATTACTATTTACCTTTTTTATATACTTTATAAAATTAAACAAAAAATTCCAAATGCAAAATAAATACCATGTTTAAGTAATCACTAACACATCCTTTTGTTTATGTTTCAAATAATATGTCAATTGAGTAAATTTTAAACCTTAAAATATATTTAGTTGGTGGGTTGAAAATCTTATATTACCCACTGCTCTAGTTAAATAATTGCTAAAATCGGTTGACTCGTAAATGTGATTAATGAACTGTATATAATGAAATGAAAGCTAAAATGAAATTATTTAATAAAGGTGGTGTATCAGGACTCTATACCTTAATGCGTGCAGTGGGAGTAGATTAAACTTATTAATCTTCCAGTTAATAGTAAGTATTTTTGTTTACATACTTGCTCTTATGTTGGAACGAGTAACTATTAGTCTAGCTAGTTGTTTTTAAAAAAAATTGTGACAAATTTTATTATACTTTCTCAATTTATTTATTATGATAACAGATATCCAAAAATGCTCGAGACCCTTAAGCGCATCTTTTAATAAACTTATATGCTATAGCCAGGTCTCATAGATGTCTTAATCTGATTTTGTTGCAAATGTTTAGAGGATGATAAGGTTATTAAGGTTAGTTTAGTACTTACCGGAGCATCAGACATAAAAAGCTTATTGCCAAGGTCACCCGTAGTTCTTGTATAAACTTGCATCATAAGTAACTTTATGAATGAATAAACTTTTTGACCGTACGTTGGTAATGTCGTAATAGGGTCTTCAAGTCGCGATGTAGGAAAAGCTTGGAACAAACTATGGCGCACTTGTAGTCTTCAGAATAGTTTTCCAGAACTCGGATTAGTTGGTTTTTTTATAATCTAGGCCCAATAACTCCACGTCACAACTACTAGCTAAAACTTGTTTCGTTTATAAAGCAGTTATCCGGGTATATACGTGGATATGGTAGTTAAATCGCTAGTTTAGCCTTATACATGACATAGTATTCAATATGCTTTTATCAAGAGAATCTGTTGTGTATGAAGCTCTAGCGTATTCATAATGGCAATTTGGTTGATCATTTAGTTTTTTATATCTTTTAATAATGATTATGCCATGCCATTGAAGGGTAAAAACTCCTTATATTAACTGCCTGACGGTATGCGTAGACTCCTAAATCGACTAACTATATCTGCTAACGCAGGAGCAGAAACTGAGACGAATAGCCGCTGTAACTTTCATGTAAAAGAAGGCTTTATATACACATGTAAAATAATTCCTCGAGATTATTAAATCCAATGAAATGCACAAAATGTATACAATGCATTACCAATAAAAAATATATAAATATTTTGTATCTGCGTAGTTCTTTTAAACTTTGATAAAATAAGTTTCCATTGGCGAATCAAAGCGTGTTTCTCCTCACGTATGCTTGCATAAGTTTTACAGCAACGAAACTAATTTGTTAAGCTAGTTGGTTTGTGTATGTCTGCTATATAGGTCAAAAATAGGATGAATGAAAGCAAGAAGTCTTATGGCAGGAGTGTGTTCTGTGTTCCTTCAAATCTGAATAGACCGCTTTAAGTTTAGTTAAAAAACTGCTCGTTGTAGAAATGTTTCAATTGGGGAGAGAAGGTGAGCTAATATTTTTGTATTGGTTCCTTTAAGTTATGAACTGCGGTAAACAGAACAACAGCACATGTATATTTGTTTTTGTTAATCCCTTTGTCACTTGCTCAGAAAACATCCAGAGTTGCTGAGTAGCTGGTGACCTCCTTTAAACCAAAATATTTTTAAGATAATGTTTTTTACACAGCTCAGTAAGCGCCTGAGTATAAGGATAAAAAAGAGTGATGTTTTTAATGCATGACAGTTTATTGTTAAGGACGATTCCGCTAAGGATACCTCGCTCTCGAAAAAAGGTGTGTAACGAGCGCTGTGCGTTTCTATGAAACTATCAACTTTCCTACCACTTCAAACAGTGCGCGCCCATCTTTAGGGGAAAGGGGGCAGCATATTATTACTAAGGTCGTTTTGTTCTTTACTGCGATGGTTTTATAATCAAGTTTCCTCCTAGCACGAGCCAGGATGTGTTTTCGTAGTAACGTATAGGTGTTGATGTGTTAACTACGAACTTTTCTACGACCGTGTTTGTAGATCGCATCATGTATTTAGTGCGAACAGTAAAACTGGTTCTACGATATTGAATCTTCAATGAAATCCATATATGTCGCTAGAGCTCTTTATATTGGACTGCCTTTCTATTGCGCCTTAATTAGTACGTTCTGTTAACCCTAACAAATTATATGTGAAGGATACTTATCGCTGGTAGACTTTTGGTTGGAGTTCCGGACTTATTAATAAGCGCATAGATGCATATATACCATCAAACCTTGTATTAACCTTTAAAGACTAACCATCGATTTAACAATATACTACAATTTAGATATTTTTAACTTTTAAGCAGACAGATTTTTGCAGCAGCCAAATCTTAAGGCAAGTTGTCATATGTAGTTAAGAACATGGCTGTGAAATACCTCTATAAACTGTTTAAGAAAAACGAGCTGACTGTTTACGATAACGGACTCAATAATTTTAAATAAAAGTTTAATTTTACAAAATCATCAGGTAAGTAGCTTAACCCTTTAGTAAAACATACTTGCAAACCGCTGAGGCTAAATACAATATTAAGACTCGAAAGTGATAGTATGTGGCAATTTAAAGGTTATTACATAACCGAGTCTATAAACCGCTTTTACCTATATTTATTCTATTATTAAACAAAATATTTCTGTAACATTAGAATTTTAGTAGGTTTATTATTTAGCTAAAAACTTAATCGGCGTATATTTCATGGTAATTTAGACTTAGATGTAAATAGTAGTACCTTTCGCCTTTTCCTTACAATTTTAGTTTAGTCACTATTCAACTTTACTAACCTTATTTAAACAAAAACCTCGTCACAGTTGAGAAGTTATAAAAAACTTCATACCTCCTCAGAAGATAAGTATAATGAAAACAAAAAACAATTTTAAAATCCATATATAGCTTATATGGAAATAAAAAAAGATTATCCGTTATATTATTGGTGCTGATTAACTGGGAGAAATCTCTAAATCAAAACTCATAATAGCATATTAATAACCTCCTAATCAGATAAGCAAATCTTTTACAAGCAATTAAATATAGAATTAGTGGTTGACATGCTTTCATAATTTTCGGATTAGTAAAAAAAATTGTTTACTTGAATTTAATAACTGTCTTTCCTTAACCAAAAAAATTACAATACACATACTTAATGAGCATACTCTTATTTACATCAACACGCGAATTTTTAATCCAAAAGATCCAAAGGCAGCGAAATATCCAAAAAGGAAGGCCAAACAACAGCATTTTCTACAGCCTCCATTATTTTTGCCACAATAAACTCTTCCACTTTTGGAGGTTTTTGTATAAGACTGTCCTATAAAAATTATAGAATAAAGGTGTGACGCATATTAAATATTATAAAGGAAAGAACAGCGCCGATGACGGTCACGATCTGTAAATCAAATTTAGGTAGATCCTGGAAAAAAAGTTTATAACGCCCAGTCGCTGCATTGGAAAACTGAGCACACAGTTTTCCTGAGAATCCGTTAAAGAGAATCTCAACTGAAAGTGGAAGGCTCGCTAACTCCTTTACTCACAAAAATAATATATTATGAATGGAAAGACCAGTTATACCTTCGGGTTTATAATAATAATTTATTTGATTTGCTTTTTTTAAGATTAAATTTAATTAAATAAGGTAGTCATATAAAAATACTTGAATGGGCCAATTCACCAGAATGGAAGCATCGAAACAAATAATGTTTACCCCTTTGTACTGGATATCACCTATAAAAGTCTAAGTAGGAGGATAAATAGCCTCAAATTTAAACAAAAATAGCGTAAAAGGCACTTTTTACCTCGCAATTTTGGTATTCGCAGACCTCAAGCGTTTTTAACTCGGGAAAGAGTGGATCCAATATAACTTTTTTAAATATTACCGATCCCTGAAAAATAACACAGAGAGAGAAATGGTGAGTTTAATATGTATATAACCAAATAATCTCTTAAAGGATTATCAGGGGATTCTAAATATTTAATAGTATTTGTTAAAATGTAATTTTTTAGCCGATCCTTCTCATAAAATTCTAAAAATAAACGTTGAAACATTCTGTTTAACTCGTAAAATGGCGCTATTATTAAGCTTGTTATAAAATATAAAAGTTTAAGTTAAATATTAAAACCACTGTCCCTTTTAACTTTTGTAGGAAAACGTTGTCTAGAATAGGAGCTAAAGATTCCCTAGAAGTAAAAATTAAACGCCGTTGAGAAAAACACAATATTTAAGCCACCCTTCCTTTTAAATTATTTTCATAATTCAGCAAAGATGCTTCACAAGAAAATACACGAGAACGTCTGGGAGGAACTTTTTTTAACAATAGTTGCCAAATTAGAAAGGTCACAAGCAATATTAAAGTAATTTGTCCCACAAGAAAACCTAAGGCAAAACTGAACATAGTTAATTCCCCAAGAAATAATTATCTAAAAGTTTACATGTAAGTGCTGGAATAAGAGTAGAGCACGGAGTCCCTGTCAGCAGACATAACTTTTATACACAACTAAAAGGGGAATAAAAACTAAGCTTTTAGAGCTCAAAGCACTCGCGCTGCACGTACCACCCACTAGTTTAACCCCTTAAAGGTTACTGGTTACTATGTTTACCACATGTCGCCTAGGTTCAGTTTGCAAGAGAAGATCTATGGGAATTGACCCTAAACGACAGGGTTGGTCTCTTAAACAAAATCTCTGGTAATTTCGAGTACCATGTCCTAATGGATTTGACAGCAACTAACAAAACATAAAAAGTGGTAAATTTATTCACCCCTGAACGTAAAACAAATCTGTGTTAAGCCCCAGAGTTTTGCCCGTTAAAGAGTTAACGTAACACATTGAGCTTATCGAGTCTCGGTCGATTGTAATCCTTTCTGAGCCTTACAAAAATATATTGAGCCAAGCCTAAAACTCTTAACAACTAGGCAGGGAGAGGATATATCATATTCCACTCCCACTGTATGCACATTTACTTATTAAAATGGCTTTGTTTACCTTCAAAGGCAGAATAAGTGTGCTAGCTTTAACTAGGTAAATTCTTGATAAACACATAAGAGCTCACTAAACATTTTTTGTACTCGTGATAACATTTACACTATTTGGGTTTTTATATAAAAATCCTAATGACGAAAGTATAAAAATTGCTAAAAATTCAAAACTGTTTGAGGTTTTTTAATAAACTATTATATGTATAGCACAGGTGAAAAACTTTTCTGTAGTTTAGGCTTTTTTTAGTTAAGAACTTTTAAAGTAAGACGGATTTTATAAAGAATAATTGTTTTTATAGTAAACCTTTAGGTTATAATTAAAACGGTTTCTTATTTTAATTTGTTTTCAATGGGTATAATTGTGAAACCTTTATGCCATCTTAAAAATTATTACTCGTTTCCAGGTTCTCACTCCTGAATTCTTGTCGTCCGCCATTTTGACTTCATCAAAGGTCAGGTACGCAAGTCTAATTAGTATTCTTTTGTACTAAATGTTAAAATTTCAATTCGTGAAAAATCTGTTGGTTTGCTTCTTTTTTGCTTAGCACTAAAAGGGTTACTGGTCACTTTCTTTACATATTTGCCGACTGTTAGATTTAAGTGTTTCATTTTCATTAGTATGGTCGTGTATAGTATCAAATCTTTTTTTTTTTCACTTCTATGCTGTGGTATTTGTTTTTGTTAGAGTTCAATAGCCTAATATATAATTTCATAAAAGTAAGTGGGAGCGTTGAGCTTGGTACCATAATAACTGATTAAATATAACAGATTTTAAGTGTGTAGGACGTTGTTTTTGGTTTTTGTAAATCGTGTCGGAGGTTACATTTATCCTATGTTATTCGTTCAAATCCAGTGGTCCCTGTTTTCTTCAAACATATGTTCCTTGTTTTTGTATTCATATATATGTGAAGCTGACTTTAAAGTTGTTCCTATAAGATTTTTAAAACGGTTGTAAAAGAAATTGTATTCATGGGTTAGCTTGACTTAGATGAGTTTATTTTATTAGCTTAGAGCATTTTAAATTTTCATAATGTGTTTGTATTGTTAACTCTGTAAATAGAAATGGTTCTATACTTGGTGTAATACCTTTCTTATTTTCTTGTTGTTTTTGGATTCTATTGTACTTTGAACTATATTTAATTAACTAGATCATGTATTGCTTAATTGTATCCCGTGGGGTCCCACGGTTTTATAAAAGTATACCAGCTTTGTTTTGGTGTCGTAGATTTTTTATTTCTCTTTATTAATTTAAGAGACGTAATTATATATATATGTTATATAATATCTTCACTCTATGACCTACCTGTTATAAGTTTTGTCGAAAAAATATAGTATTCTTTCAGAATCATATAGCAGGTTATTTAAATGTAAGTAGCTAAAAATTTATCAGAAAACCTACTAAGTGCTAAAAAGACAAATTTCTAATTAATGATAAGACATGCTTAAAAGTGAAAATTGCAAACAAAAAATTACCAATCTAAAAAAGTCTTAATTTTTCAAATTCAAATCACCAAAGCATATCCGTGTAAAACAACCAATAAGGAAGGGATAAAAACTAATCTACAATATTTTAATGAAAAGCTATATAACCGATAAATCCAAACTTTAAATAGGAGAATAGCAATATATAAATTTTAAGTAGTAACATAATTTAAATTAGTTGGGACACTAAGGAAAGGCGATTGCATACGAGGAAGGAGGCTCTAATCATTTCAATAGGTCCTAGGTTTACGTCGTGAGTCTGACTTTTTCCTTGAAAAAAAAAAATTAGTTGTAAAATTTAGTCAAATAATGTTTTCGATTAAACAAGCTAGTATTTTCTAAATTTTTCCAAATACTAGTTTTCTGATTTTTTCATTAAAACGATTGTTTTTCTTGGTGGACTTTTAATACGCATTACTTTCTCCGGCATTTTAATTATGTCGGGTAAACCCATTGAAATCCTCAATAATAGAAGCTTTTTAAATTTTTTAATAATAGTACTCAAGTACACATCATTACTAGTTGCTCTAGGTTATTGATAATATTTCGCACTTCCAATAAGTTATACATTAGTTCTCAATGGTTTGCTTGTTTTTAAAATGAGTCTTAATCACTTTACCACTTTTGAAATTTCAGGTTTACATGATAATATTACTTTGGCATTTACCTAGAGGTTCCCTGTACACCACTCGGTTTAAGTTAAACCAGTCAAACTGGGAACGTTTTAAATTTAGGACTTTCTTATGTTATGAAATATCTATTAAACAAACGCTTAGAACAGCGCCCTATAGTTTTGTGCAGTTTGTTCGTGGTTAATAAGAAAAAATATATATATATATATATATTTTTTAGTATTATTCATTCTTGCTAATATACTGTTTAGAAATTTGAATCTGTTACTATAAAAAAAAAAGTGATAGGGCGGTATTACTAATGGTGTATAGTCCTAAGCCACTTTTTTTAGTTAATGAATTCTTGTTCACCACGGGTTCAATATTTTTTTTTTTAGTGTATTATATATATTTGGTCAATCAATTTATTAAAGCTTTGATATTGTCAAACCGTCGCCAAAGGCTTCTTGTGGCTAACCAATCTACCTAAACTTATAGGAAAAGAATATTATAAACATATAATTGTCTTAATCTTTGACTATATATAGTGTAAGCTTTTTATAGTACATTTAAATCGGTTTTAAAGTTTCTTGTCTTCTTATCTAGCATTGTAAGCTTACATAACGTCCCTGAATAGATAAGCTATTAAGTCGTAACTGATACGAGCATAGATAGCCTAGTATTATAATTTTCACAGTAAATTTTTTGAGGCACTAAAAGAAAAGCCCAGTAGTGTATCTAGCGATAAAAATAATTCGTTTTACAAACTAAAGGTCCGCGAAAATGGTACCCAACCTTTCAGATTTAAGCCAGCAACCTACCAGCCAGCCTCCCAAATGTTAGCCCCCTTTCGAAAAAAGGAAGTTCAATTTTAATTTTCACTTAATTAATAGAGGAAGCAAGACAAGTTATTATAAACATCCTGCCACATTCACAAGGGGGTTTGACCCGTAAAAAAATACAACGGATAAAAAGACAGCTTTCCTTTAATCAATATGAATGCTAGTAATATAATTTTTTCCCTTGTCAGTCTTATATGGTAAGAGCGAAGATATGATTAAATTTTCGTATAAAGAATAGAGTTGAGGTCCTGACGAAATTGTGTGGTTTAACAGGTGTTCAGTATGTAAACCCAACCAGGATTAAAAATTGATGCTGAAGCTGACGATTAGAAGTACTGATGCGCATACTCAAGGTCATGGGCCTGATGCCCACCGAGGCGACTCTATTTTTCGGTTTTTAATGTTGTGTTTTTAACCTCACTTTCTAACAGACAGAAAGGAATAAAGAAGGAAGAAAAGAGAGGAGAAAGAACAACAACCACGCGCGTGTTTTTATTTTTGCTAGTTTAAATTTATAATTTTCCTTTTGTAAAAATGATTATTGCTCCTGACTTTTTGCTTGACACGTGGACAATACATTCCAATTGGTCTATATTATAAATTTTTTGTTTATTAGAAACTTCCTTTTGCCAAAACTGTGCTCTAAAACTTTCAGTTAGAATTATGCGAGTGTCGGAGACCACACATTGTGTCTTATATTATAAACAAACTTTTGGAAAAGAATACACTTTTGGAAAAGAATACAATTTTTGTAAAAGTTTAAAGATTTAGCGGTAGGGCGCTAAGTCATATTTGGTTAATATGTTAATAGTCATTTTTTTTATATTGCGATATGGTTCTATCAGTTTTTTACTCTTTTTGGTAATTACTTAATCCTTTTCAATAATTTTATAGGTGGCTTTATACTTTTTATCTTCAAAAGCAAAAGAAAAGGAGAAACTTTTTTATTGTTGAAGCATGAGCCAGTTTTGGTTCGGTTTAACCTGTTTATTTCAATTGTTTCAGTTTAACTTGTGTTTGCGTCAAACACATAACTATTCCAACGTTAAGTACGATAGTCTAACTATGAATAATATTCAGTTTTTGGCTGGCGGGGGTGATCCACTGACCTTAAGCCAGACGTTTAAACTTTTTAATTTTTTAGTCAACCCCAGCAGTTATAAGGCTATTGGCAACTTATCTTTTTATTTAAATCAGAAAATGAATCAAGATGGGGCGCGCGCCTTTGAAGTTGCTACACTATTTAGAGACAAAGCCTTTTCTTTTCTTTCTCCCACGAACATTAACTCGGCTCGAGGTAAACCAAATTCTGAAGAGATGAGCATTTATGTTATTTTACTCCCTAATGGCTTTAATAACCCACTTTTTGTTGGGAAATTAGTTGATTTTTTAATAATTATTAAGCACTGGTTAGCTAGTAATTCTAAAGATCTTCCTATAATTTTGTGTTTACATGTGATGTGTAACAGTGATGTACCACCTTATTTTAAGAATGAAGTCACAAATCTTATAGATCCTGACTTGAATTTGCTAGGAACCGAAGTGGGTAAAGTATTTCGGCGTTCTCAAATTATTAGTAATAAGGCGTTTTTTCAACAAAAAAAAAAAGGTTTAATAACTTGGCCAACCTTAAAGGAAGCTCAAGGAAAAGTTATGTTTTGGATAAACATGAAAAATAGAAAGAAACTTCCAGAATTAAGGAATTCAGGATTTTTTCCTGTTCTTTGGGAATCTTATGTAGCATCAGTAATAGATGATTTTGATAGTGAAAAAATCAAAGAACTGGCCCATAAGAAATTTATGGTCCTTACCAGGGCTGGATGTACTGAACAAGAATTATGTACTATGCAGTTCAGCGCACAACTCGTTGCCCCTCGTCTGTGTAGTTCAGCTGAGACGAGCTCTTTTCTGAAGGATTTTGGTTTAACAGTCCCTGTAATTAATAGTGTGCTCTCTATTCAGTCTCCCGCGTGCACCTTTTATAAAAGAGGCGAATATTTATCCTTTTTTAAAACTTTTAATTACGAAAACATGTTTACCATCAAAACGGGTAGTTGGGGTGGTATCAACTCTATATTATTTGGTTACCGTCACGTCCCTACCGCGTATATAGTTTTACTGCACGGCTTGCCTAGATTGTTCGGGCTTAAAAAGTTCAAATACAGTGACAAACTTTACTGGGCGGGTATTGCTGTAACAACCGCAGCTTTAGCCGTATTGCCACTATTATTGTTTTTTTTGTTTTTATTGGTGTTAGTCAAGTTAATGTTACGCCCAAAGAATTTACTTTTTTACGAAACGCAGCTTGGTCAATTACAGTTGGTATTAATTTTTTTTTTTTTGCTTAAAATAGCTGTAGTGTGCTTATTTCTTTACGGAAATCGGAAGATGTTGTTTTCCTTAAAAGCTCTGGAAGATTTTCAGCTGCGCGCCTTGCTCAAGGCGAAAGATCTTCAGGATTCCGTGGTATTGCTTGAATTTGAAGCTCGGAACCAAAGCGATTATAAACCTCAGGAGCCCTGTGCAGTTTCTTTAAAAGTGTTAGTATTCTTATTAAGAAGAGGAATCAACATAATTAGGGAGACAGCGGGAACCACTGAAAAGCAGCTACATAAATTAAGACAGGCAATAATGACTTATACATCTTACAGTTCTCGTTTGATAAGAGTGCTTAGTAACCTTCACTTTTCTCTCTACTTTTTGGGCTTTCTTAGTTTCATCTTGGTGGTATTCTCTGTTCTTCTCATAAGTTACTCGCTCTCTATTTTATTGACTTGGAGGAATTGCCTTCGTCGTTTTTCTATTCCTTTTCTTTTATTTTTTATGTTCCTTTATTTTGTGTTTTTTTTTATATTCTTTTCTGAATCTTTAATATTGTCGGATATATGCATGGATCCTGCCGCGGTAATAATTGAATTAATAAAGGCTAAGACTGGTGAAAGTTCTTATAACATCAAAAAAGCTTTATTTTGTTTTGAAGACGTACAGTACGGGTTTGCTGGTTTTGAAAATCTTGCTATGAAAACCTTGGGGGCTGTTAGCTACCTCGTTAGCATCATTTGTCCTGGTGAAGGACAGCGTTTTAAGAGCTGTTATGGGTCATTTTTTCAAAAACTATTTGAGGTGGGGAGCATTTTACTCATTAATGGATCCTGCGCTAACTTAAGAGATATTTATATAGAACTGGTTTCCCTAGTTTGCAATGAAAGTATGAACTCTTTAATGCACTTACTGGGGGGGTTAAGTATGTCGTTGCTCGTCCTTTTTTTTTGGATTTGTATTATTTTGATTTTAAATGGTAAAAGTACTACAAGCAAAGCCTGAAATATTGAAAATTCTACTTTATTATAATCAGTGATTCAAAACTTTATACGCCCAACACGTCGTCACTGCGCGTACAATGACCAAAAATTTTATTATTAAAAGTTATAATAAAGTTTGAACGTCAATAAGTTCGTTTTTGCCATTTTAAAGGTGCATAATTTGAGTTATAGGGTACCTAGGAGGAGTTAATACTTTACTAAACTAAATTAGTGTGAGAATAGCTTTCGAAAAATCACCACTACCTTAAGATAAAAGTAGAATAATGGAGGATGAAGTAAGTCCTGGTAGAGATCGAAAGATACTGGTGACAAATTTAATTCGACCCATAAAAACTCATCTGAATCACAGCAGGTCTCCATATATAGCGGGCAAAAATAAACTTTACTAGACCCTATATTATTTACACTTCTAAATTATCAGGTTAAGCATGCAAAGACATCATACCGAGATTGAGAGCTGCCGTAGTTTAGCGGATAAGAGCATTGAAGCGGACACTCAAGGTTGTGGGTTTGATTTATACCAACGCAATCCTCTTATTCGGTCTATTATGGTTGCGTATTAACTTCGCCCTCATAACCGTGCCTGATAAGTGGCGAAATTATTCTAAATATAACCCTAACCACCTACTGTTTCAAAAATTTATGTTTTTTTTTCATTTTTAACGCCGGAACGGATTTAGATATGTCCTTTTGATTATTAATTTTTTATATTGTAAAAATATATAAACATTTATGGACTATATTAGTCTAATTTATTTAGTTGTTAAGGTGAAGGGTACTCATTTAAAGCTTCCTTGCAAACACTACCTTTATAATAATATTGGCATATATTAGGAGGTAAAAATAATAATTTTACAAATATGTCCGCACATTTAAATAATGTATTATAAGTAAGCCATGATATCTATTTAATTCATTTAAAATTTAATTTATTATCTACATTATTCTAGTAGTATGCAGCTTGACGAATGGTGTGCCAGCCATATTTTATAAAAATAGTTCGATATCTTAATCTCTGTGTCCCCCAAAAAACTAACTTTGTTAATCATTAAATAGGTTATCATATACTATTTATTAAAATAAGTATCCACGCACTATGAACACTTAATAATAGCGATAAAATATAATTTCAGAACTCGCTGTTATAAAATAATAGTTCTCACGAGAAGAGGAAACATGTATAATGTGATCTATACACAGCTTTGTATTCTCCTATTACAGCTTTATCTCTTTAATAGAGCCAAGTGCTATCTAATATATATTTGAAGTGCTGCTAAGCTGTCTATCTACTTTTTTTTTTGGAATTATTGGCGGTAAATAACACCCTTGATATCATGTAAACGGGTACTTAAAACAAAAAAGGGAAGTAAACAGAAATAATTATTGGTTTATCTATTCAAGCGTTAGTATACAAATAATTCACAGGTTAATATATCATAATTACAATTTATAATGAAGAATTTCTTATAATCTTTTGTTAACTCATATATGTTAAAAATGATTTCCAACATATTTTTTTTTATTTAAAGGAATGTCTGAAAAATTAATAAAAAAGATCACTGATACGACTTAAAAGCAGTAAAAGAGTTCTATAAAGATGATAAAGTTAAAGTTACAAACGAATAATAAAGTGTGATATAGGCTAAGTACAACTTATTTCAAAGGAAATAATATCAAACATAAATAATTAGCTTATAAAACTAGGAACGAAACTTAGAAGACATGAAGGTTTAAATAAGAATCGAGATCATATAAAAAGAGACGTAAGACGTGCTTCACTAAAAAGAACATAACAAGAATAATTGAGGTGCTTTCCACCGGGCGCAAGCCTTTAGCTAAGAGTCGATCCCAGGGTTGGTGAAAAATTAGGTGCTCGAGGTAACATGTGCCCATTCACGAAAAAACCGTAGTAACTTTTCTTGCTTGTGAGTGTAAATATGTTATTTAATTAATTTTTAAAGATAAAAACCCTTTATTAATAGCTTTCAAACTTTTTTATGTGCTTAAAAAATAACAATTCATAACGAGTAAAAATTTATTTTTGTTAGTTACCACCCTGTATATAATTTATACAGGGCTAAAGCACCTTTAATAAATTGGGGAAGGAAAGAAACTATTATACAAGAGCAGTTTAAAAGAATCGAAACGGATCGTTGTGGGTCCCTGCTTATAATTTTTTACAAAATTTATTAGTATTGAGATAATTCTAAATTTAAACAATTTTTCTAGTATTTCAAGTCACCTACTTTGCGTTCAAAACTGTAAATCACTGGGTATAGTAGTAACGACTTGGTATTCTTATGCCTTTTGATTAACTTTATGTAGTAACGGTCTTTAGAACGAAAACGTTATAATCTTTCCTATCTTTACTTTTTTTAATCAGTTTGAGGTTTCCTCCAATTACTCGAGAGTTAGCTGGGTCTCTCAGTTACATACAAGTTGAAGAATAGCCAATGCTTTTTTTGGTCATTCATTGATGTTTAAAAAAATGCGTGAAAGACATAATCAGTAACTTTTGGGGTTTAAGTTAAAAAACCTTTTTAATCATTTTTTCCTATTAATTAAGTTTTTTTTTATTATATTAGTTTGCAATATATAAACAAGAAATTGCTTTAAAAATGGGTGTAACTAACTCCAAAAGCAAACTAGAATTCTCTTCAGAACGTAATTATTTGGCGTAAATTGTTTTGTAACTTAGTTGTGTATTGATCAATAATTTTATAATTATTAAAATTTAGCTTGTTTTGAACATTTTAAAGTTTTAAGAGCGATAGGGAGGGGTTCCTTCGGTAAGGTAATAGGAAAAATTAGTAATGTTTTAAAAATCTTATTCTTTCTTCTAAGGTCTGCATTGTAAAAAAAAAAGATACAAGAAAGTTATATGCTATGAAGTATATGAATAAGCAGCGTTGTATCGATGAGAATGCTGTTCTAAATGTTCTAAGAGAAAGGAAAATCCTTGGATTACTGTTTCACAACTTACTTGTTAACCTGTGGTTTGCTTTCCAAGATCCTGAAGTTCTTGCTTTATATCAATATTAAGCGTTAATTGAAAGTTTAGAATTATTTTTATAAATTAACTTATTTTAATTTTAAACTTATTAAGGACTTGTACATGGTAATGGATCTCATGTTAGGTGGCGACTTGCGTTTTCATCTGAATAAATATGGAAAGTTTACTCCCTCGCGTGTAGACATGCATAGTTTTTAAAAACCTTATTTATATTCTTGTTCCACGAATTTTATTGATATAATTTAAAGCAACTAACAGCAATTTCTCCATTCTTCTTTCATTGTACTGCCTAGGTAAGGGGCTACATGGCAGAAATATCTTGCGCACTTGAATACATTCATTCTTTAAGCATTATTCACCGCGACATTAAACCAGACAATCTACTATTAGATAATAAAGGGCACGTAAGTGTTAAATGAATTTCGCCGTACACTTTTTTTGCTATGATTACCTTTTATTGTTGTTATCAATATTTTTATGTGAATTTTATTAGTTGCTCAGCACACTGCTATCTTCTTTTGCGTTATGACTAAGTCTACTGCCCTTTACAAGGTACATCTGGCCGACTTCAACGTTGCCACGTTTTTGCGGAAGGACAGCAGGCCCCATAAGTCTTGTGCGGGGACGAAGTACTATATGGGTAGCCTGCTTTATTGATGCACCTTTGAGGTGAGCGTTCTCCTTTAATACTGGTTCTTTACAAGCGCCCGAAATGTTGGCAGGGGAGGGCTACGGCCCGGGCGTGGACTGGTGGAGCCTCGGCGTGACCATGTTGCTGCTTATCTTTAGATTGATTAATTGCAACAACTTTATAAGCACTTTTGGCGAAGGTATGAACTTTTGTCGGGAAGCAACCCGTACTACGAGCTTTCGCGTGCAGTCAAAGGAAAAGAATCGGAACTTTCGTTAATTGCAGTGGAACTCGTATGGCCAGAAAAATGTGACGAAAACACCGTCAGTTTCTTAAAAGGTTTCTAGCTATATAGTTATAGTGACCGCCTAACCAATTCACCTGGCAGGCTTGCTCGAAAGAGACCCTTCCAATAGGCTGGGGACGCCTGCTTGTATGGAGGAGCTGAGGGCTCACCAGTATTTTAAGGCAAGGCGTCGTTAGAAGCATTCTCATAGCTCATCGCATTTATGCTTGATACTATCAGTGCCTTAATGTCACGTGGAAGGAAATAGAGAGTCTAAAGATCCAGTGCGAGTTTGTGCCTTCGGAGAGCAAAGTAAGTCGGCCTTTGTGCACATGGCATCGACATTGATGAGGTACCCCAGCTCCACTGCGATGCTACCTACGAGTTGGAGGAGCTCCTGCTGGAAAATAATCCTCTTCATAAGAAGAAACAAAGATTAAAGAAATACCAGCCAATTGACGAACCCAACGTTAAAGTTGGGAGCAACGAGTCGAAACTGCTCGCCGTCCAGCACGGCTTCCGCCCTTTTAATAGAGAAAAAGTATGCGCTTGGAATGTTTTTAAATCTAGTTTCTTTACTAAATGCTTGATACCTTGTTTGCATAATACAGTCAAATTTGGAGGCGCACCGGACATTTGGTTCTTCCACGGCTTTATCTCAAGAATTCCGGTGCGCAGTTTCGTTTTGTTTTGCTTCTCACGACCAACCACTGTATTACTTTTATAGTACATACGCTTCCAAACCGCGGCGTCACAGCAGTCTTACTTCGTTGACGGTGGGGACATGCCGTGTTGGAGGCGCCAGCACTTTGCATTATACCGAGCGGGAGAAGTTCCACGTCTTGAGCACTGGAAAGGATAACAACGCCAGTGAGCTTCAGTCTTGGCCTCCCTCGGAAGTGAAGAGCGGGGTTGTGCTTGTTCTGGGCGACTGTAGCAGCAGGTCACCTCCTCGAAATAATTCCATGAACGGAAAGGAACTTTCTTGAAGTAACTGTGATTTTTAAGGCTAAGGGAAATTCTAGCAACTGGAAGCGTATTTGTTGCTTTTCACTATCACTTATGCTCGAACGACCTTTTGGAAGAAGTACGCCCACGGACCCATACTTTTACATTAAAAATGGCTTTTGAAACTATTTGCTTTTACGTTATATTTTTGTTACTTTTTTATACTTTTTCGAATATATACATGTATGATCATAGAAAATAATTTCAAGATTGGTGTGGGGTAGGTAATTCATATTATATATTTGAGCCCACATTATAAGAAAGGGTCGGTCATGTGTCGAGGGTAACACCAGCCAATGTTATAACTTTAGTTATGCTGTAGGTTCATTATAAAATTTTTCAAGTAATAAACGTAATGCTCGTATAATTACTTTTCCTAACATTCTACAATAAAATTATGCTATACTGCAACCAATTCATATGCTTATGTATATAGGTAAAATTAAAATAGTTATGCTAGGTAGCCATTTTTTGCAAAATACTATATTTAAAATAGGAGCAATAGTAGTGAGTAGCGTTTCTTTTTATAGAAAGTTTCACTTTTTTTAAAGTTTGTGCGACAACAACACACCCATTAACTCACTGTTTTTAAAGTTAAAAGGCTGTAAATACTATTAAGTTCAGCTTGTGATGGTTTCAGTATGGCCAGAATAGTAAAAAAGGTCTATTTTAAATTCTTAGATGGCTTATTTTAAAAACTCTTAATCTAATGTTAGCATTAACGTAATTTTTTTTTCTAGTTATAAAACTAAATTGTAATAAAGTTGTTGATTTAATGTGTAAAAAAATTATTTCCCAGTACTGTCTTGTATTTGTAAAGAAAGAAAAAGTGATTTAAAAAGACAGTATAGCCTCTCTGTTTCCTTTTGCGCTTCCTTGCTTGATTTTCTGAAGTCACCGCACCCTGCGAGTTCCAAAGTCTACAGGACTGTAAATAACTGCAAATTATATCACAATAATTAACTAGCTTTGAAAGCTATTATTAGACAAATTCCAGAAAAAGAATTGTTTTTTTGCTGATTAAAATCGTATTATTATTATATTGTGACTTTTTTGATAAGCTACATTTAGTTGTACTTTACTTACTAAGTCAGATATACGATATCCTAATTGGTTATTAAGAAAACCCATTTGTGTACTTTTCTAGATACTAAGGAGGATTCAACTAGAAACTCGCAACTACACACAGATAGAAATAACGGCAGCCATATAGCTCTTATATAACCTTTTCTAACATCTAAAGCTGGTAGTATGGCACTTAATTTTTCATCTTTCCTAAAACTGTTCTCTATGTTACTACTCAAAGTAGGTATCACATGCAATATGCCCTTTTAGCGGACAGATGAACTCGAGATAAACCGGCGCGATTAAACCGCTACAAGGGTGCACAATTTCACCTCCCTCCTTCTTTCATGAGCAAGTCGTGTAGGATACTCTAAACGCTAAACTAGGATAACTCAGAGGCATAAGTGTAAGGGCCCTTTTCTTTCTTTCTGGGTCCTGAAACCCTCTCAGAATTGGCACTTAAGTTCAAGAGTCATAAGCCCTATTATGAGCCTTAAGATTTTAGAAAATCCGAGGTCATCTGCCTTTAATAATTGCACTCGTGAATTTACAGCTTTGGGATTTTTTCTTTTTCTTTTTTTTTAGCACTTATATACAGTGGTCGATCTCTGAACGACGACAGAGCTTAATTTTCACTCCTCTCCCCATGAGAGGTTGGGGTACGTAAGCGCTTTGTTGCACTCTTTCGAAGGAGTAAAATATATGCCCCGAAGACTGCGGAACATCGGGTAATTACCAGCTCAGCTGGCGCCAATAGTAGAGTGTGACCAAAAGACCGGTGATAAACTACCCACCAGGAAAGCCCCTCGAACCCTACACTTGGGCCACACATTGGCCGCGCACTTGCTATTAGTCTGCCCTCCCGACTATCAACTCCTCATCTAAAGAGGAGAGTGCTTTCATTTGTAAAAGTATTACTGCGAGGAAATTGCCTTTATTTTATAAGGTTCTTACCTTTTATCTTTTGGAAGTGTAAGATAAGTTATAATAAGGGTATGTAAAAAAAACCATTCTTCTGGATAACCTTCAATAAATATAAATGTGATATACACGAACGAGTCGATGAATTTCTGAATTAAAAATTTTAAAAAAGTATGTTAAAAGCCCTTACCGTTAACGGAACACAGTCCACCTCAGTCTTAAAACCATATGTGCAACGCGAGATGCATTTTCTCCAAATATTTTAAGGGGAGGGCGCTGAGCCAACGCCCCTGGCGAGCTGATTCTTGGATCGGACTGAATGAAGTACCTCTGCCTGATGCATATTCTATCTGTGATTAATGATAAGATAAGTGGCAGGGAGTTGTACCTTCTAGAGTAAGGTTTTCCGCATTGATTCCTAAAAACTTCTATATTATGCCTGTAAAACCCAGGGACTAATTAATTAAAAACAATAATTTTGGAAAACTTAATCTTATAAACCAAGAGAGTTCCCTTGAAGAAGCGATGCAATTAACCCAACACTTTGCCATCATTTCTACATCTTTTTGCAGGACGATTTGTCTTTGGATTCTAAATAGGTCTTTGTTTCGGCTAGTGACATGGTACTCTGGCTTAATAAAAGAGCGCTCCCTCCCCACCACCATCCGGGGCTACTTTTTGTAACTTCCTTCTTCAATCGAACTACTAATAGTGTTGTATAAAATTCGCTAATTGTGATTATTCCTTGTTTAAGGTAGTCGATAAAAAGTATGCCATATGCATCTCAATATAAGGAGGCTATAATTTTTTTTCAGACTGTGGACTGGTCTCTGAAGTATATGATGCATTCAGATTTCATACAATATTCGATCAAACAATTTTTATTTCGCTCAAACAGCCCCTACCGCGCGCACTCAATTATAACAAGTGGTTTTTGGTCCATTGTGAGCAAACGCGGTACTCATTTTGAACAGAAAATTCTCATGCCCCCAAACGACTTAACACGTTCCATTAACATCTGTGCAATGTCAACTAACTCACGCAACTTTACTTTACAATCATTTACGAAATTTCTGTGGCTTATTCATGTTTTCGGAGTAACCACCTCATTTGGGCTTTCAGAGGTTCAGCATGATGTGTGCCTGTACGGTCTAGTTTGAACTCAACGAACCACCAACAAATCGTTGTTTTCGAAGGAGCAAAGATACCTTTTTGCTTAGCTCGGACAGTGTAGTTCCCATCTGAAAAACATTGCTTAATCAACACACGAAACTCATTTTAACCCACTATCTGAAAAATAACAAAATCAAGTTACCAAAATTTTAATATTCCGATAATTAATGGACGAAATGTCATAACATTTTGACAAGTATCATGAAGGTTGATACTAATTGAAAATGATATGGATCTCTTCTTAAGAGGGGGATATCTTTTAGTTAGTGCCGGGGCATTTCTAGGGAAGTGTTATTTTAAACAGGCGGCTCCTCGCATTAACAGCTCGTAACTAAGAACTAATGTTTTTAACGAAAACATTTAGTTTTACTTTGAACAGTTATATTTAATGAAGTTATCCCAACATGGTGGTATATCTAGAAGTGAGCAATATTAAGAGCTACGCTTAGAAGCTATTATTTCCTTTTTATTATAATGCCTTTTTTTAACTATAGCTCAATTTTTTTTATGCTTTCTAAGCTATCAAGTTATTTTGTAGCTATCTCTATACTCATTTTTGGATTCCAAATTTATCCTTACCTAACTTTAGCCTTCTTTCCTATCCTAAATTTTTTTTAATATATCCCAAACCTATTATTCTTCCTTAGACACTTAACTATTATAATAGATCCATACAATCTTTTAATTTATTAATAAAATCTCAGCCCTAAGGTTACAAGAAAGTAACAACCTTTTTTTATCCTTCACACTATGTTTTACTCGCACACCATAGACAATTATTAAAGGAGGTAAAGTCTAACTGATAATATACTTAAACTGCTAATTAATTTTGAATTATGCCCGAACAGATAACTCATTAAGGCACTCACCAATAATACATGCTAAATTGGTACCAATTTTGTTAAAAAAAGAAATACATGTAAATGACAATTTAAAAAAATTATACACGATATATGTTAACATATAACTCTCTATTCCATTGGTAATATTATAACAATTCCGAAAACATTTTACTTTAATTTGACTATATGGAAAAGTTACTATTGCCAAAACAACTCCTTTGTGCTCCACTACATTTCAAGTTTACATAAACTTAAAATTTTTTATGCTCTCTTATATAACCTTTAAAAAAAAAAAAAAGAAAAAGTTAGGCCTCCCGTAAATTTTTTTTAAATCATCTGTGATAACTAAGTAGTTCGTTAATTTACGTTTGTTAAGAAGGCCGACTTTGTGTTAGCTTTTTTTACTTGATACGTAGTCATTAACGACTAAAATTGACTAGAGTTACAAAAATTTTTATTTATATAAGTTAAAACACCTATGATGCTTTAAAAAAGGCCAATAGTATTGTCAGAAAGTAACGCTTCTGAAATATTATTTATGTGCGCGTTAAAAGAAAAGTTAGTCTCACAATGTGATTATAAGTTAAGGGGAGTCAACTAATTTCCTTTTAAAAATACTGGGACATTTTATTTTTTTCTTGAACAAGTGGTGGTATGTTTAAAAACTTGTAAAATTTTGTTTTTTAAAATTACCTTCGATTTATTAATAAATTGAAATTTTACTAATACTATGGTCGTAGTAAATTATATTATATTTAATACATTTAAGCGTAAAATTTAATTGTAAACATAATATTTTGTGTAACGCTCTTATATATTAGAAAGATATTGAGTTTCTTGTCTAAAATTTGTATTATAAATTATAATCCTTATCCTATTATTAAAATTTCCTAACAACGTAAAGTGGTGATCAAAATATTATAGTACGGCCTCGATCCCTATACAACCACATGCTATTTTCCTTAACATGCTTACTTACCTGAAAGGCTCCCTTACCAACAGTCCCATTAGCGAAATCTAACCCTTCGGTTTTTTTTATAAAAAAGTTGTGGGTGGCAGGCCAATTAATTAAAAATAATATTTTTAACTGCATTAATACAATAATTTTTAGACATATTAGTATTCCATAAATAACTTTTTTCTGTTGGTTTTAAAGTCATTGAGCAATTTTCGTATGGGGAAGTCTTAAATCCTAAATTTGACTTGCATAACGCTTTAGTCATTTTATCCTTAAAAATGTGTTCTATCTTTTTATCAAAAGAGCCCAAAGTAGGTTTGACGTTGCTTATGTCAACAGTGGAATTTACTCAGTACAATCTCAAATCGAGGGCCCACGTTTAAAAATATATTGTATTAACTAGCATTGCTACCCATGGGGAATTACTTATCGTTGAGCGGTGGTGATTTGGCGTACGATTTCCTTTGTTAGGTAAATAGCTTGCCAAGTTTATAAATATAGAAACTATATTTACTAACTAGTTTTAACACACATTCACTAGCTTAGTTAAGGTCTGCCTTGGGAACCAATCCACAGGTTATTTACGTGCAGTGATATAAAAATTTTCCATTAAATAAATATTAATTTAATATTAGAAGTATGGTATAATGACTAAAATTTTTATTGAAGAGATACTAATATTTGCTTTAAATACTGTATGTGCAACAGGCACTATAAATTAATTTTTCGTACTAAAAAAGTGGAGTTGGGGAATATAAATATACAAATAATAATAGCGGTTTAAAGCTCTCCGTTTAGAACCTCACACTGTACAAATTACTCAGTGCAAAGAGTACTTATTTTTAGAAACCGTCAAGGTGAATAATTTGTCAGAAGTTTAAGGTTTCCAAACCAACCAGATTAACCGGTTAGTAAACAGTTTAATAAGGGTTCCCTTTTAAAGCAGAGGAAACTATTAAAAAGTGATCATAATTTAACAATAATATATGGTAAAATAGGAATTAAAAGGAAACCAACTCTCTATTTAAATTAAAAACATGGTCCTAATTTTCTGACAGCTAACAAATCTGTTTGGTGCAGATGTTTTTATTCTAATTAAGTTTTCTCTAATAAACTATTGACCTTCATTTCGATTAAAATGCCTTTTTTCTTTGTAAGCAGATTTGTTATAAATCAAAAGTCTTAAAAATTGTCTTAATATAACTGGGAAGCAATTTTAAAAGTAATTTATCACTAAAGTTAGTCTACTAAACAATCCCAAGTATTTTACAAATTAAATATAAATAATTCTGATTTCCTTAAACTGCTTATAAATTTTTTGAGTAAAAAGCACAAAAATTATAAATTCTAGTCAAGAAAAATAGTTTAGATGTAAATAGTAAGTAAAATATATATTTTTTAAGTTCTAAAGTGATATTATACCTTGCTCACTGAAAGTACTTAATTGGTTATTAAATTGTTACAGGCGTAAATAAAATTAATCAAATGTACATCTTAGCCCGGAATAACCGACTACCATGTACTATATAATTGATAGTTAATACAATTTTGTGGAGTAGTTTTTAATATTTTCGTTTTTAAACGTGCCTTTCTTTCATTTTACCATTAGTGTTTAGCTGCTTCACAATATATAGCAAATTTAATAGGAGATAAACAGTTTCAGGTAAAGCCTTAGAGAAATTCCCACCTTATAACGGTGCACTGCCGTTATAGTGCTAGCCACAGGCTGAGATAAGATATTATGGCTTTTGTAACGATATCCAGTTTAACAGTTGCTATGCCTCCACCATTTTATTGTACTCACTACCTTTAACTTTTCTATATAAATTATCGATTGTTTAAATAAAGATGCTACAGTCCTTGTACATTTTAAAAAAAGGGTAGAACGTCTGGATATAATTCGCTATACTTACCTGCAGTAATCACTAAGCAATTTTAGTGTACGCTAAATATGCACAAAAGTTCGAAGGAAGAGCGTCAAAAAAACGTGGATTTTACCATTAAAATAAGTATACATAAGAAAGTGGGAAGATCCTTCAGTTTTATACAAATCTCTGCAATTAAGTCTGAAATTTAAAGGTAGAAAACTTAACCATTCAGTTTCAAACAGTTGTACGTTTTAAATAAGCGATTTTTAATTGTGGTATGGAGGAACTACCTGAGTAGTGCCATGAAGGCTGATAGTTTTTAATTGGTTAAATTATAGATGTATATTAGATCGTATCTACTTCTAGACCACGTTTTTAAATGCTTATTACTTAAAATGTCAAGGTGCTTAAGAAAATATAAATGAATATAACAAATAATAATAGATTTTTTATAATTTTGTGTTCTAATTTTTGGTTAATTACAGTTAACCAACTTGAACTATAAAAATTTTGCTTTTACTTAATACTACATGTGTATTTTTAATCCCAACTGTCCTAACAATAGTTAAAGAGCGTCCTTTACTTTTTACTTTCAACCTTACATCTTCCCAGATACTCTATTAAAGGTCAATGTGGAAATCCATATTTGGCAATGCAGTAAGAAAGAAAGCCAATAAAAGAATTACTTTCTTTAAAAACTCTATTGATAACCACAAATATACTTAAAATTGGACTATGATTCGTCATGATGAAAGCTCGCTTTTTGATATGTTCACGAGGACCTCAAAATGCACTACTAATATTATTATCTTATCCCAGACAGTTAAATTGGCCTGTTCAGATCCTCTACCTTGGTGTCCTGTAAGAGAGGGTGGGCTGACGTCAGCTTTCACTGCTTCCGATTAATTTTTTGGCTCCCGAGAGGTTGCTGCCTGTTCGAGTGGGTTGCAAGAAATCTTTAAAAATTTTAACGGGTTTTTTTTAAAAAGGTTTATATTTAATATCATAGCCACTGTTTTTTTTATACCGATTTATGATCCTAGCTTAGCATTAGAGCCTATTAAATTTAAATGAAAAGTGTATCCGACCAGTCGGAAAATTTAGAAGGATTTGTACAGCCTTCTAACTTTGTTCCTTTTTCCACCTCTAACTATTCAAGTTTAGTTACTAGTCAAATAGTACCAGCTTACCAATTCAATTTACCGTATGATAACTTTGTTCAACGTAGTGCGCAGCAAACTTCAGCAAATAATTTTATAAAGGATGGAAACCAGATATTTGAGACGGAACAAACCTCTTTAGTAGGTGACTTAGTTTTGTCTCAGTATCAGCAGTTCTCTGGAAGCAACCTTCCTCATACTCAATTTAGCTCCCTCAACGTAACGAGTACTCAAGAGGCGAAACCCCTTAACCAGGAAAATTTAGAAATTTACCTAAAAAGACTGTATCAGCTTCAACAACATAATAACCTTAGCCAACAGCTGGGCCGGGAAGCTACTCCGCCTCCCTTGTCAAGTTCCACCGGGGTGTCCCACCTGCTATCCCGGGGTCAATCATACTGTTCGAGTCTTCCTTCTACTCCTATATCAAATGCTCCTTTACAGGAAGAGGGTCTAAACTCTTCCTTCCTATCTCAGCAACCACCACAAGTCTTAGCTCAGCCGCCATCACTTTATAGTTACATGCGACAAGTAGTTGCACCAACTTTAGTTCAACACACTCCCTATGGTGCGAGCTTTTCTAGCCCAAACAGCCCAACTCAAAATGCGCCTTCAATGTTTCCTGCGAATTGCACAGTAGCAGATAGATCTAATCCCATGGTTTACGCACCTCCTTTAATTAGTGATAGAAACGAAGAATTAAGGAAAACTGCTATAAATAACCAACTACAGACCTGCAAGTCAAGTCCGTCTAAAACTAGAGTCGAGATGCTTAACAATGTTAATAAGACAATGGCACCACGCGAAAAAGGAGTAGCTTCAAGTCACACTGAAGAGGCCCACCGGCCTTCTTTGAGTTACGCAAGCTTGATAGCCCAAAGTATTTTCGCTTCAAAGGAGAAAAAACTAACGTTGCACGAAATTTATGAGTTTATATCAAATGCATATCCTTACTTTGAACTTCGCAAGTCGTCTAGTTGGCAGAACAGTGTCCGCCATAACCTATCAGTAAATCGCTGTTTTCAAAAAGACATGGAGGTTTTCCCAAATGGCAAAAAAATTGTTCGCTGGAAAATTAATCCGGATTTCGCGAATTCTTTTACCTCCGACGGCACTTATTTAAGTCCGCGTAAAAAGTTTAACACGACTGGAAAATTAATGAAGCGGGTGCGCAACTCAAATCGCTTAAAAATGGCCAAAACTGTTAACGTTGAGAAGGTCTTCGCGTCTAGTTCGCCAGTTGTGCAACAAATTAGTAGTTGTGCTAGTTCACCTTTAGCTTCCCCGTTTCACTCCCCACTCATGTCGCCTCTTAATTCAAGCCTCGAAAATGATGCGCTGATGGGGACGGAACTTTTTAATAATTTTAAACCAAGTTCATCGTTTTTAAACAACCCTTCAGGTGGTGAGCTTTTAAATGGAAACGACCAGTCACAGAATCCCCTACTTACTTTAGGCTCTCTAAGAGTTGACAGCAATTTAGCTAGCGTGGACATAACCCTACCAGAAGTGCTAAATGGGGTAAAGGACAGTAAACTAAGTCCTTACCAAGCCGAGAGAGAAAATTATAATAGCAACGGTAGTGGGGTTGAGAAAGATGATAATAACGCTTTTACCGGAGATTGGCTAAGCTCGCTTGAAGACGATAGATGGTGGAACACCCAATAGCCTAAGCGTTTACCAATTAAATAAAATTATGTATTAAGTTTGTATAGCAAACTATCACATGAACTTTTATAAGAGTATAAAGATATTTATAAATAACGGAAAAGGGATAAATTTATTTTTGGGCCAACTATCTTGTAGTTTGCAGTATGCCTGATAAATTATGCTAATAAAAAATTCCAAATTAAGCTCTTGAAATGCATAGGTGCGCCATGAGTTTAATAGGCTTCTTTACCTGTTTATCTTACAATCTTTTATATTAAAATAATAGTTAACAAAGTGCACATTATTACTATTAATTATTATAGGAAAGTATTATTAATGAAAGCAACTTTTTAGTAAGGCGTTTTCTAACAAGTGCGAATGTTTTAATGTGATAATAGTCCATGCAGTTTTTTAATATTAACAAGGAGTTAATTATATAGGGCGAAAAGACAACTCTAAAAGTTGTTAATAAGATTTTGGATAAAACATTTTATGTCAGCCATTTCCTCTGCAGAAGAGTGATGTCCCAAATTCTCATAAGTCTTAAAAGTTACTGGTAAGTTAAGACTCTTTAGGTATTCATAACTTTTTTTTCCCCATTCGTAACTCACAATGTCGTCGTACTTTCCTAGTTTAAGTGAAGGAAGGAATTTAAGTTCAGAAGTATATATAAAAATACCGTGCGCCTGAAAAATTTTAACGCCTTTATTTGAAACAGAAAAAGAGGTAAACTGGCGCCGAAGGGGAAAGTACGAACTAAGAGCTATAAGACCGGCAAGATTACCGGGGTAGGTAATTCCTTTGGAGCAAAAAAAAGGCTAAGAAAGGAAGAAGAATATAAGAAAAAGGATATACCAGCATACAAAGAAACTGCTGCCCCCTGCGAGAAACCTCCAATAAAAATGTTGTTAGAAGCAAGTCCAGTTTCCACTTCATGATCTATAAGTTTATGAACTAAAGCCCAAAAAGGATTATTAAGAGGTCAAAATGGTTTATTAGGTAACAAAACTTACTCTCTCTGGCGCTTCTCTTCACCCCTTCTTCATCTTCTTTTGCTTCTTCACTATAACATAAAATGTGTGTAGGAAATCTCCAAAAAATTTAAGTCGCAGTGACAACCTTAACTGATAGATATCGTACCAAGCCGTCATAATCATATTATTATTTAAGGTAACAGGTATAGAGGGCCTAAAAGAAAGGCTTAATGTTTACAAAACATGTGTGGTCTTGGAATAATGTACTACGCATTAGGAAAAACATATTTAATGCCGCTAAGATTCAGTTGTTCAAAAGTACGCGACCAGCCATAACCAGAATCTCCCAAACCGTGCGCAAAAATTAAAGTGGCTTTTATATTTAAACAAGAAAAAAGGATAAGAAATTTTCCTAATTTAAAATAGTTTATCACGTAAAAGACTAGGTATTTATGTTTGAGGAAAGTAGACCAGCTAAGCACCTTTATGTAAACCTTTAGGACCTACCACTACGGCACTAAGCATTTTTGATCACTTAAAGTTGAAATATCGTTCAGTCGGCAAAGACTTGAGTGCAAAAGTATTTTTTTTAGCTAACCGCTGAAACGAAAATTCAAATCTGAAGTTTTACAGCAGTGAACGTGGTGGGCGGCACGAGTAGTGAGTAGACATACTGCTCAAAACTATTATTTGGAACAGGCAACACAGAAGGCTTGTTATTTTCATAGATAGGTCTTTTTTTTAAAACTTTAGAAAATATCAATTTTCAAGCAGAAACATCAAAAGCCAAGATAATCGCCTAAATCACAAATCCTTAAAAGGAGACGTGCTCTTCTTACAGACGCTTAAGATGCAAAATGTTCGCTTTAAAGATGATCAGGTTATTCATAAATGAGGGGGTTGTATAGAATATTAATGCATACCTTTTCATTAGCTTTGTTCTGCTTGACCAATATTAACAAACTCATATTAGTTTATCTAAAAAAAAAAGTGTAGAAGCTAACTTTCCAACAATTTTTGGTTTACCATGGGCTATTAGTGAGAAAAAATTTTAAAACTGTACTATTAATATAACCTAAGAAAAAACAGAAATTAATATCCATAATTGTTTCTTTATTAAAAAAGAAATATACAGTTGGATTTGATAAGTTAAAAAGTCCAAAAAATTATTTAAAAATCCTTAATAGATAAAGAGCTGACTTAAAATGATAACATATAAGTTATTAGGAGTTTCCGCTTAGTGTAACTACATGACAAAAACCTGCTAACTCACTTAAAATGTATACAGAGAGAAATCAATTATTTTAAGAACCCACTGCGCTAGTAAATTTAAAGAGTTAGCTACGCTGTTTTTCTACTTAACTAATCGCAATTCTTCTGTAGCAATTTATTTATTCTGAGGAACCATAACAATTTTGGCTCCAACTAAAGTGTTCAATTTATCTAGTTTTATAAGTTTTAAATCCTTTGCTCAATAGCTGAAAATACCACCAACTTTAAGTTACTTGTGGCCCTTTTTATAAAAAGTGCATAGTTAAACCTCTTTACAGTCTTAAAAGCCAAAATCTAGTTGAACCTCCACTAAAACTCTAAGCTTGGCACTTATGAGAAACATAACTATTTTTTTTTTGTTCTACTTTTGTAGCTAGCATTTCTAGAGTGTTAGTCAGTTACTTTGTCATACTAACGTAGAACTTTATTAACGAAAAATGCTTGAGTAGTTAAGTGGTATAACCTTGGTTCTTTCCAGTGTAGTCAATGGTTCAGTTTCATTCTTAAGCATACCTAGGGAAAAAGAACTTCAATTCGAACTCTTCCTACTCCCTTGGATATACCTGCTTTTCATTCCCCTTGAGGAAAACAAGCCAACAATCTAGCCTTACGAGAGGGGCTTAGTAATGACGAATGGAGAGTCCATTAAGGTCCTTGACCTCAACTCCATCAGGTACTGATTGGCTGTAATTTCAGGTCAATTCCACCATCTAACTTAAGTTTGGTTGTCTGCCTAGGAGTGAGCAAGAGAAAACAGGAAGAGCAATCAAGTACTTCCCCTGGAGAGTAAGCACGTTTGGTCTTGCTATCATAGACTCGATCCTTCCTTTCTGGTGCTATTATAGGAAGAGAAGTGGAATAACAACCAGGATAATTACAGGTACCTACTTTACATCTTGCACATTAAGAAATTAGTTGTGGGACCACAAAGATGACGTTACGAGAGAACGATAAGCCCCTTAGCTTTTCAGAGTTAGACTATAGACTGGTTAACAGTATCGTTACTATATATACGTTGTAAATGTATATATTAATTGTACTATTTTCCTCTTGGCCAGCTTTGGGCTGGGCGTACTGTTCGCTCTGTCCTTTGGCTCGGTTCGACCTCTGATTACTGGTGCTAGTTCCTATATCGAATTTATTCTGGTATCGGACTAGAACTGTTATAAACAGTGCTATTATCTAGTATATACTTAGAATGAGTCCAAGCAAGCTGTATAAACCTTTTAGCTTTACCAAGTTAAGTCCCATCCTTATAGTTATATAGGATAATAAAAAAGAGTCTTCTCTTCTTCCAAAATGAAACAACCTTCTCAATCGAACGGGGAGACACTGGCGACTTTAAACTAGGGAGTAATCTTAATTTTAGTCGAGCTAACTTGCAATTAGCTTTAAAATTTAATAATGCCTTATACTTTAAGCTCACTAACAATATTGGCTTCTAAACTCTTTCGGAGTGCTTAGCATTAACGATTGGTTTTAGGTTGAAGGTGGGAGAGCATCGATAAATTATTTAAATTGTATGCGCCTTGAACGGGCCAACACGATCTCACTTTTAAAAAACAACATAGGATAAACGAGGTCGAATCTAGTCCGTATTATTTTGTACGTAACGACTTTAACAGCTTAGTTTTTAGAGACGTTAATGTGTTAATTTGCTTACATCACCGTAGGCCGGTTAACAAACGAGGAATACCTGGGAGGAAAAAACTCGTTCTGGAAATTAAACCAACCACATCTAGTATACAGCCCCAGGTCCAAGTTAACGATTAATGGAAGTCATCATGTAAAAAAGGAGCAACCAAATTAGATGAAGGATTCAGCTCATTAATTTAAAGCTCAGATTTTTAAGTGAAGCTTTCTACTTCATTCTTCCACTACAATAAGCTTTATACTTAGTTAATTAGTTGAGAAACGTGCGCGATTTATCGCGTTTTTGATAACAGGTATTATGACCTGGACAATCGAACTCTCCTTTAGTCGAACAAGCTGAGAATGGTATTGTTAAAATGAGTTACTTTCAACATAGAATTACTATTTAACCTTTATTTTACTCGGAATTATACCTTATTTGTAATAAAGAAAAATTATAAATTTAAAGGGGTGTCGTAAGCTAGTTATGTATAACAAAATATCATGGAAGCTGCTAAACCTTGCAACCTTATTTTATTAGTGAATAACACTATTTTGTCCTTATTAGAGTTTTTTTTTTTCATTATTAAGGTCTTCACCGGACTTGTATAATAGATACGTTAATTGATAGACGTATCTCGACGCTTGCGCGTGTTTCAGCGTTTCTATATTTAATACTTCATTATCTGTCTGTATCTTAAACGCTTTCTTGCGCGGTCATCCTTCATTGAGCTGCGTAGGCGTCAGCTATCTAAGCTTAGGGTTCTCCCTCAGTTATGTAGGTTGGGCTATTAGTGGTAAAGCTGTCTCTCTTTCAAGGCATATGACTGGTAGCTTTTACCTTTTTATTCTCTCTTGCTAGCTGACGCTCAGTGTTGTACACTCTTTAGAAGTACTGATTTATTACAACGCCCCCAGGTCGCTATCGTTAAGCGGCCTAAATTGCGCGTTTGCCGGCAACCCTGAAACTTCCCGTGAGTTACAGTTGAAGGTGCTGATTAGGTGCCATCTAAAAATGACTTGCAGCGTATATAGAAGAATACCTCGGACCCTGTCACCCCCTACGCTGCTTAGGCTTTACTGTTAAACTTTTTTTGGGTTACTGTCTAATCAGGTTATTTTATTAGTAAGATAATCTATCGTCCGAGTTGATGCTGGGAAGGACTTCTGACTAAAAAACCTAAGTTGTGTGACTATGGTACCTTCCTGATTTCAACTCTTTTCTGAGGGTAGCGTTGTACTGCGAATAGCTTCTAGACCATAATTAATCGTATCGAAAGGTATGCACTTTAATTGGTAAAAAGGCGTCGGGGCTTCCGGCCTTCGGTAGGTTCCATAGTACCTATGTTTTAGGGTGAGGCAGTACGGTTAGTAGCATACGTAGGACTGGTCTCTATGTGACTCACATGCGAGAGCTGTCTCGCTCCAATGATTGAGTTTTGTAACTTCTAGACTAATCGAGTAACGCAAGAAGGGCTCGCTATTCTTTCAATTTAAAGTTTTTTAACTTACGCATTGTATACTGGTAGTGCCCCCTGAATTCATTTATTTTAATATGTAAATGTGAGCTCGTTAAATCTTAAATGGAACTTTGGGTAGACTGCTAAGTGATAGTTCTTACGTTGCCTTTTCTTGCGAATAACTACGTGCAAAAGGCATGTCTGAGTTGTACCATGAGATGTTAATAGCACTATATCCTGTTCCTGTACTCCCAGTGCATTTAGATACCAACCTAGTTAAAAACTAGGCTATCTCTTCATTTCTACTGGCAAAATAGTACCATTTGATAGTGAGCAAGTGTTTGCTGTACTAGTTTTAGCTTCGTAGCACTTGGATAGGCCTAGCTAGCTGTATTCTTGGGTCATGAAGCTAAATAGTATTGTCTAATATATGTATATATATGACCCCAATGGATTTGAAAATGCTTGTATAAAACTAGAGTGCTGCTATAAAATCTGCTTAAAATTTATACAAGTAATACTTAAGAAGTCATTTTAAAAAATTTTGTTGAGTTAAATGATATATTCTAAAAATGGGAAAACAAAAATGACCAAAAAAGATTACTTTGAGCAGGCAACAATCCTTTGAAAATCTAAATTCTCTTATTTAAATGGTATTAATTTTTAAACTAGTAAACACGTTTAAAATTTTGAAGTTGGATATTTATAAAATGAGAAAGATTTTCATAAAACACAACGTCAGAGGTTAACTTACTAGCAACAAAATGTAAACTTGTTCAAATAGAGTAGTTGCAACTATTGTCTATTAGAATTCCCACCAAACCAAAAAGTGGACGCCCAACCTTGATGGGGCAGGAAAGCATTTATTAAAGTATCGAGTTCAATAATATTAATAAAAAATAAAGTTTGATTTACAAACTAAAGTATATTGTATAATAAGCCTTTTAAGGTGCCTTAGAGGTTATCTATTAGGCCTTAAAAACTCAATTTTTTAAAAATATGAATAAAAATATTCGAGCTGCTTGTAGTAATGTGAATTCATTATGCTCATAAAAAGCATTCATTATAACTTGTGTTTGTTGAAGTAAACATTTGTTAATTGTGTAATTCAACATATCATAATCTAAAATTCTAATTTGGATTTAAGAATCCTTTATAATGCCGGTAACCTTAAAAATTAAATATTTATATAAAATTTTCAGCTCAGATAAATAATACTCAAAAAGTTTCTCTATACGACTTTAGTTTAATATACTTAGTATGTCTGTCTGTAAAACAACTGTATTGTTATAAAAAGCTCTTAAAACGTTCCATTATGCCTATTATTGTACTTCATTTATGATTTGGTAAATGGCATTTATAAGATTGCCTGAGTCAATTATACTTTAAATATATAATCAGAGCAACGGATTAACTTACGAATGCTTATCAGTGCATTCCTCCGCTAAAGTCAATGACCTCGTTTAAAGACTAATTACAAGGGCGGAATCGCGTTAATTGGCCTAGTGTGGAAGAAAATCGTTAAATAAAAAAACCATAGAGGCGGACTTCTCCTAGTACAATTTTGAGAGCGAGGTTTAATACGCAAACAAAAAGGTCGAAAAAGAAAGTCGCGGAGGAGAGGGCCATTAAGATTATAAAGAAGGCTTAACAAAAAGGTGTTTAGAACGGCACGTAGGATGGGAATGAAGTGCTGGGAGGATATATTTATTGTAATAACATTGCCCAACGTGTTAGGCGTGTTTGCCTACTTTAATGCTTTTTAAAATGCCAGCAAAATATAACGAATTATTATAAGAAAACCATTTAGTTGTTAAAAGCTCCAAGAAGAAATTATTATGGGCAATTTATTAAGGCATTACACTGAACACAGTAAACTGACTGATGATAAGAAAATTTTAGAAGAAAAACAGGAATTATACGAGAAAAAGAAGAAAAAAGTCTTTGATAAAAACGTCAAAAAAGCGCAAAGACATCAAACTTCAACCTTGAGATGCGCGTTAATACTCTTTAACTACTGAGCTATGAATTCAACTCTCAATTCTAATATGATAGCTCTACGTATTTAATTAGTAACTTAAAGACTGATCAGTTACCCAGGCTTTCCGTTCCAACTAAAGGGTACATTTTCTTTTTAAGCGATAAGAGTCTTATCATATATATATACAAGTCGATCAACTGTACTGGTGTTTAAAAGTTGTTCCCACTGAAGGTAACGCTAATGGCATTAGCTTCGGTAAAATTTTTTTAATGTATCGCGTTCGGTGAGTGTTAGATCATATCAACAACACACCCCAAAAAATTTATTTGTTGAAGTTTCTGTTTATCTCACCACTGTTTTTTTTGCGGTGTTCAAAATGTAGACTTAAAATATGGATTTGCGTTTTAATCATGTGGGTTATTAATTTTTTTTTAACTGGTATTAAATTATAAGCTGCAAATTGGATAGCACTAAATATGCATATAAATATCTCTTTTTTATAAAACTTTTGCGGTAACGCAGGCTCCCCGGCGCTTTGCTAAATGGCCTCCAGGGGGTCTCAGGGTTTTTGTATCTGTTACTGTCTTTGCCGGTGGGTTTTTAGCACGTTCTACCACACTTGACCAAGGCGGGGCGGGAATAGCCTATATATCCGCCTTTTTCCAGCCCTTCGGGAGCGTACACCCCTTCTGGAGAAGGGAAATACGAGTTAAGCGGCTAAAGATCTTTTTTATGATCGGCTTTAGTATGCAAGCGTCCATATATTAATATTTGTAAATAGTAGCTTCACACGGGCAGGCAATAAAGATGTATATTCCTTTTAAATAGACTTGTGCAAAATTAAAATAACATTTAGGCACAAAAGTGTTAAGCAGAACAAACACAACCAAAAATATTAAGGAAAAGCTCTTTTCTTGAAACGCTCCAAAATGGTATAAAATTTAATGGAATTTGCACAATAAAACTCGAAATACAATTTATTGATAAGATTCTTTAGAACTTTGTATAAAGCCATTTCCATCCAAGAAACAAAATATAATAAATACTTGCTCCTATACAACGACTCGGCAATAAAAATGGAACAAGCTAGTCAAGAAAAAAAACGTGAACTTTCCACTAAGGCATTATTGCAAGTTCACCTTAGACAATCATCTGTAAAGGTAAAATATATTTGCAAAAACAAAGTATGGAGGAACGGGGTTGTGCACAGATATTTTTCTCTTACAAACCTGCTATTTAATTCAAAAAAAATTAACTTTTTAGCAATATATATGCCTACACTAATAATACATCCTACACTAATAATACATGTATTATAGGCGGTCGTAACTTGCCCTTCTTCCGCATTATAAAACAGTATGAACTCGGTGGCAATTTATTTTGCTGCGAAAGCAACTTCAGGTAAGATAAATAGAAACCTTATAAGCAATATTTCACTACCTGGAAAAATAAAAAAAAAATTAAAGACTTAAAATGCGGAAAGAGACTAAGCATTTAAAATTATTACAGGTACTAATTCTTTTCCTGCATTACAACTTTTAGACAAGCCTTAGACTTTAAAAAAGGACATTTTGTAAGATAGGGTGGTGAGCACCTATCCAGTAGCGACAATATTTATAATAGTAACTTTTTAAATATTATTTTATAATAGTAGCCCCCCTTAACCCTAATCCTAAACCCTAATATTGGCAAAATAGTAAGAACCATACAAACTATAAAGTGCTGTCATAGGCAAAGAGCTTTTACCGTTGCTAGGTAAAGATGGAATGAAAACTGAGGAGCATCTAAAGACAAAGATGTGTAAAGTTAGAAAAAGCCCTACTCCCTTTCTAGACAAAGGGACGCCATTAGAAAAAGATGCCCCTTTTTTTTTAATTGTCCTGCTTCGATAAAAATTTATTATATAAAGTAGACAATAAGCTGGAAATAAAAGTGTTTAGATCTTATTCTTCTTCACAAAATACGTATTTACTAACAACACTAGTTAAATTTAACAATTCTTTTCTTTTTCCTCAACTAAAAATAAAATTTACTTAAAAGGTGGTAATTAACCTGCTTAATGATGGCTTAACGAAACTTTGGCAACAAGCAAGCCTTTTTTTAAATTGATCCAATCTGTAACACTTACCTTTCACAAAATTGAGATGCGTTGGCGTTGTAGATTGCAGTATCTGTCTGCGGATATTGACGTATGAGAATGTAATAAACCAAAAAGGACTCAACTACATTTAAGAAAAGAATTAAGATATTAACTGAATAAATAAGAAACGAACAAAATGGTAGAGCTAACGACTCTTTAACAAACAAACATAATTTAAAATCGAGCTTTCTATGTAAAAGGGCACAAACATGTAAATGTAAAAATGCAAACCGCAATTACCTTGGTATAACTAGAAATCTCCTAGTATCTAATGCTGTCTGCAATATGAGGATCTCTTTTAAAGCTAAATATTAGTCTTCTGCTTCCAAAGTTGAATTGCAGTCCAAGTCATGATAACCGTTAAAACGAAACTAAAAAATCAGAGAAAAGAAACGTCTGATAAAACTTACAGTTTATAAATTATTGTTCAAGTGTGCGTAGATATTAAGGTTTACACGGGTAGTATTTTATTTTGGTAAGCTTCTATCTCGCCTTCTGCATTTTTTTTAAGTTACTGGTTGTGTATGAAAACCCGTTTCTACTAATTAAAATATTAAAATTGTTAAGCTTAAAAAGAGGGGTATAGCCAACTACTATCATACAGCCTTCCCACGTAAAGTGTCTTAGCTAATAGTAGCTTCATTCGGTTTTTTCACTCCTTAAAACTTCAAGGTCGAAATATTAATGAGAAAAACTTTGCTATAAATCTTAGTAATTAGTATGATGGGTTCGTAAATTACGGCTTCCTAATAATAAAAAATATTTATCTTGCTACTATAATTAACGAACTTTTTTGTTTATAGTTCTAAACTTAAAACGTTTATGCAAATGTTAATTCTATTTTTCCAGAGCTGTATTATAATAAGTTTTTAAATTAATATTTAGCCATCTTTGACGTTATAAACACTGCAACAGTTAATCTCAAGAATTATGCCTTCCACCAAGTTGCCCGCGACGAAAGAGAACAAACATGCAGTAAAGAGACAACCAAAAACCCCATAAGGCTTTACTGGCTTACAGACAAAGTAAAAAGATATTATATATAGTATAATTAAGATTTAATATTAGTTTATTTAAATCCTTGCGCAGCGAATAAAATTAACGGAATTATTATCAATTTAAAGGCTGTATATTCTATACACGAAAGCCAATAGCTGAAAAAGTCTGATACTATATTATAAACTATTTTAACAAAAAGTCAAACTCTTGAAGTTCAGAAGCTTCTATTTCTGAAGATGAGGGGAACTTATCTCTTGACTCGATAGGATAAAGTTGCGAGAGCGAGGGATCAGAAGCCAACATCAAGTCGTACGGCGGATCGTTCAAACCGTCCAATTCCACGTCCGTGTCAGAGGCGGACGGCGCAGAGTCGTGGCGGGGGAGAGCCTCCGCGGTAGTGTCGTTGGGAATGACATCGTCACAGACTTTCTTGCTGTTCTCACTAGCCTTCGGGAAAAACACTGGACTCTTTAAGACTTGGTCCGCATCGCGTTTTAATAAACCGTGAGCCCTGGCAACGCTGCCGTCGTAAAGCTCAAGGGAGGAACTAACAAGGCTTTGAGAAAGAATATTATTACTGTTAACGCTCACAACATCACTATTAGTAAGTTTGTTCAGTTTGTTATTTTTATTGTAGTTGCTGCTGTAGCGGCTTAATTTGCTGGCATCAGCACTAATACTTTTATCATACCAGTTGTGGGCGCCACCCAAATCCAAGCTCAGCTGGCTTGAACGAAGCAAAGGGGAGTTGTGCCAGAGAGTTTTTGATGGAGCCAATTCTGTGCTGCACAGAGATGGTAAGGGTAGAGCATCGACTTCTTGGTTGATGGTTCCTTCCCCCGAACCCCTACAAATTAAGTAAGATTAACAAAAATAAAAAAAAATAAAGCTCTTTACCCCAGAAAAGCTCCATTTGTTATGGCCTGCACGCCGCTAAGGTTGCCACCGAATGAGGAGCATTCAGCATGCTCTAGTTGTGCTTTAACAAACTCCGGAGAGTAGATGGAAGCAAGGAACTAGTCGAAAAAAAGTTAGGCTCCCCACTGCAGAAACGAAGATTGTAGAAAAATACTTTAAGAATCTTTTCAACTGTCAACTGCAGTTCGTGCGCTTGACTCACGGCAGTCTCACTGCGCTCCAAAAGAACTCGGTTCTGCCTTCGAAGTTCAGCACTCTCAGCTTTAAGGGATTGCACCATTTCTGCACAAAAAAAAGAAAAAAAAAAGAAAAAACCTACAACTTAAATTATTAAATACCTGCAAGTTGAAAGTTGTCCATTTCTAAGTATTCAAACTTCTTGTTTAAAGAAACAACACCTGAATCTTCTTCGGCAGTTAAATATTTTTGCTTTTCGGAGGGCGGTAGGTAACTCTTTCTTGTAATAAACATAGAAGATTTCAGAAAACGCTATATATTACTAAAAAGAAATATAAAATTAATAAAGACGCTCTACAAATACCTGCGGATGTTTTTTAAAAGTTCTGGATGACCTTTTTGAAAAAATGGATGGCGGAATTGCCAGGTGTGAAAGTCGCCTACCTGAACAACGCCTACAAGTGTAGTGAAATGCCAAAGTGGGTGAGGTGATTACAAAATAAGCAAACCAGAATCCACCAAGGCCACTTTACTAAAGTCATACATGTTTAATTGTCTCACAAAAGTGGCAAAGTTGTTGTGCTTGAAGTATAGAGGTAAAATATCTTTACAAAATTCGTCTTTCAATGAAGAAATAGTTAATAAAATAAGTAAGAAAATATATTTCCATACCAATGATAACAAATAAACCTGTATTAAGAAGCACAAATCCGTCACCTGAATTCATCCATTTTATGCATTTGTCAGTGGTCTCATCATCAACCATGCTAATAAATATATACTAAGGTAAATATCTTCAGCAACGTAATTAAAATATAATAATAACTGAAAAAGTTTCCTTAAAAAAGGAGTGACAGGCTGCCGGGGCATTACTATAAGGCAGTCTACGAATTCTTGAATGTGTATGTGGTTTTACGGTTACAATGTTTAAGATAACAATAGCAGACCGTGTATTGATGTTCCAGTTTAAGATCATCTGATATAACCACGTGAAATAATTTACTAGCCAATATTCTTACTTAAAAAATTAGAGTGAACGCCATATGCTAAATTGGTAAAAAAATACAAATAAAAATATAATCGATGGTTGCATCAAAAAAAAAATTTGTTACAAAAAGATGAAAGGCGTCTTATTTTACTCATGGAACTAATAATATTCGTACGAATAACTTAGTTCGGTTATCTTTGGTGGACTATAGTGTACAGTTATTTGCTTAGTTTGCATATTATATTTATCAAGGCTCGAAAGAGTGGCTACTTTTCAAATTACCAGACATTTAACTAAAAGGGATTATCCATTAGAAACACTGCACCTTTTTGGATTGGATTATTGTATAGTCTTGAAACATATAGAAAGCAAAAAGAACCAATCAGAGAGCTTATTACGCACGAAGTATTGGTTAAATGTTATCAAAAAGTAACAACTTTCAATTTATAATTTTTTCTGATTGTCTACGAAGAGTGAAAAGGGCTCCCGCGTACGATGTATCTTTACAGCATTGTTATGGTGTTTACACTAAAGAATTAGGTTTTTGGTTTTATAAAAAGTTGTTGTTAATTATAGTACTTTTAATTAGTCCTTTTGGTAGCTATGTACTTACATGATTACGGATATGAGTAAGTGTTCATTTAACTTCGAACCAAAGATTTTATGTTTTGTAATAAAAGTTATGTAAAGTAGGTTTTTATAATTGTGTTCCTTATTAGGAACTCTTACTTAGGGCTTAGCCGTCAAGTACATGTAGCTTCCAAGTACCATTCTGAAGGTTTATAAATTTTTTAGCTAGTTTGCTATAATATTTAAATATTTAGCTTAAGGGTATTAGGTAAAGGGGTATTGCGCTACTGAGTATACTTGAATAAATAGCTTTATACTTGCGCGAACCACGAACAAAGAGGAAGGAAAAGTTTAACAATCTTGATCCCGGATTTGGTGTAAGGAGGATAAAGAAGTAAATGAGTTCAGCTTCCATTGCGTACTACTAACTTTCATCGTAATTAATTTTTCTGGCTTATATTTTAAGTAGACAATAATTTTAAAAGTTATGGAGGCGAAATTAACTACTCAAAACGTCTTAGAACGAAGGGGAGAGGTGTTCTTGCCCCCAATAATAAGTTTGGGTGACCAGGCTCCAAGCTATGGCCAACTTGTATTATTTAGCTTAGTACGTTACTTAAATATTTTTTTTACAGACTACAAAACTTTTAGAGTCATACAACTAAATAAGGTTTTGTTATCTACTGAAAAATATTTAGAACTAGAGCTTAGAGACCTAAAACCGTTTTGATAACATGTGCCTCCTCCCGTCAGGCTTATTAATGTTGAAATAACTTAGTTTGTACTAAAAACTGTAGTAAACTTACTGGAGCAAATATGTCAACTTTTATTAGTGGGAATGTAAGCAAATATACGTTGTGCCTGGAAACTGGGCAGGCGGCGGTATTTAACATTAAAAACAAAGTAGGATATTTACAGCCATCATATAAATTCACGAGGGAAGCGCAAGTTTTACGTCGTCTATTAGGTCGTAGGACAGGAGAAAGTCCTTTTTTATTTGCTGGTGCGGTAGGCGGTGCCGTAAACAAGGAAAAGTTAGTAAAGCTTTAGTCTATATGCAACGCAATTATTACTTTCTGCCAAGTGACCACGTCAAAGTATACGAACGAGCTCTTCTCAGGAGGTTCGCCAGTTTGTCCCGAATCCATCATGCGAGTGAACCAAAGCTTCAACGTACGATGGAAGCGCCAGTCTCGATTATACAGTTCAGCCGCTGCCGCCTGCTGCAAAACGTCACGCGGCATAGCGTAGAATATATAAAACAAGCACTCCTCTGGTAAATGTTTAATCTTTGAGGTGGCGAGGGGGAGTGCAGGCGGCTGTGAAAGAGGTGTTTGGTTATTAGGCAAGTGCCCATGGAAGAAAGTGTACCACAGACATATAGCAGCTGGGGGCCCTGTATTCATCTTCAGGGTTTGAGGGCGAGGCGCTGGTCCCAGAAGAAATGAGTGAGCTACACAGTGCGCTAGTTAACAGGACACAAAAAGCATAACGTAGTAGAAGGATAAAGGTTACTCTGTTGAATTGAAGTTCAGACCCAGCGTAGATAAGTCCAGGCCTAATGCTAGTAAATTCCAATCCGTGTCAGCCACTTGAAGGGCTCTCAGAAGACCGTGCATGCCATAAGGATCCTGTTGGCCCGAGAAGTTATTTGGCTCAACAAACGAACGCGACGGCTGGGAATGCGAAGTACATGTAGTCAGACCCTGCTGGAACGGGGCGGGTCTATAGTAAGGAGGCGGCTGGATTTGCGAGGCCACCGACGCTACAGACTGAGACTGCTGTTGCGCCTTATAAGAGGGTTGTCCCGCGCGAGAAGACTTCAATAAAGAGGGAGGGTGCTTATGAGGAGCAGAATACTTCTTCAGGGTGATTGCAGAGGAAAAACACTGATTTTTTAAGTCGCTCGATTTCTTTTTTTGAGTCGACGGAGGTGTGGGCGGGTGCATCGAGAGAGTGCTCCTTTCAGTTTCTGAAGTTTTCGATTCGAGAGATTCGATTGAATCTGAAGGGGCTGAAGGGTCTTGATGTGCCCGTGTTTGTGTCTGAAGCGACGGCGAGTTCATAGAAAAATCTAAGTTAAAAAAATGACACTAAATAATAGATAGACTTGAAAACGAGTTATTTATTTTAAATTTATCAATGAATTTACGTATAGAATTTGCCGTGGAGGTGCCGGGTAACGCGGGAAAGTCTTCATTATACAAACTAAATTCTGATTTAAGTGACGCCTTGTGAAAATCTAAAAAGAATGTAAAGTAAAAAGCCGGAAGAGTAAAGAACAAACAAAAGAATTCACTTTATAACATTATAAAAGAAACCTTGCAATCTCGTAGTATTGACACTCAAAAACCGATTATTAGAAAAGGAGCGCTCTATAAGCTCTTCGTGAGCATGATTTATAGGGCCATCTTCGTGGTGATTTAAAGTCGGAAAGGAGGATTGTTGCGTTGGAACGGGTATTGATAAGTTGTAAGGAGAGTAGTGTGTTGATAAAGAATAGGCTTTAGGCTTAGATTGTGAGTTTCGAAGTATATGCTGAGAAGGTTGTGTCGACTGCTGTGACTCGAAAGAAAAAGTCGAAAGAGGAGTGTTATGTTGTTGAGTAGGAGGCCTTGTTCTTAAAAAAGGAAGATTAGGCCCGACCCCTTGATGCCTGGATGTATTCATAAAGTGAAGGTCGAGCCGACTTTAGCGTGAAAAAGAAAAACGAGCTAAGTTAAGTTACTATAGAAAGTGAAGTGAAGCTAATAAGCAAAGCTTAAAGTTAATAGTTGCAAAGATTGCATCAGTTAAGTGCTCATAAAATATAGTAGAGAGTTAGAGCCGTTACTGGCTATTAGCTCGAGGCCAATTAGCACGTAATACCGAAAAGAAACTTAAAATGGACTTTTTTTACTTGGCAAGCTTAGCAAATGCTTATGTAATTTATTAAATACTTAACTTTCTAACTATAAACCTGTGCTTCGTTCCTTGCCAAACCTTTGTCAAACCTTTGCCAATTTAATTTTTATACTTCGAAAAGAGCCTTATAAAAATTTTTTTTTCTAGATATAGGTAGGCTGCAATTAATTCAAGAAAAAATTTTGTTTTTGTCACAGTTTTATAACTCACAACTACAGTCATGACAATCACAAGTAACTATAATTTAAAATAATTTATCTATATTAAAAGTTTATTAATTATGCTCGTTTTCCAACCACTCCTTCTATAGACGACATTAAGATGCTACAGTGTGCTGACTTCTCATTGTCCTACAGCGTATTACAGTTCTCTGCAAAGCACCAGACCCGGCAGAAACCGCCCCAGCGGTCACTAATTTTGTACTTGGGCACTTGCTCAAGAAGACAGAAATTTAGAGCTCCTGCGAAAGATAACCGCATTAATCACAGTGCATAAAAACTGTACCGTAACTTCGCGTGAATCAAGACAGAACAAATTGCGTGATGAAGCGGTGATTGAATCGCGAAAAGAAAATTATTAACAACAGTGGGATTTGGTGATACAGCATTACTTGCAACTGTTCTTATCCCATTGCAGTAAAATTCCAGTTATAAGCGTTTCCATAATGACGAACCGCTTAAAATTTCTTAAAGTGTAAAGAAGTGACCTTCTTTATGAGAGACGAAATTGAGGCCGGTGCAAAATTATTTAAGACAATTAGATTTTCTGCCTCTAATTCGTCTTGACAAGCTCGACGAAGGCGTTGCTTCTCTGATGTAGTCTTAGACTAAGAAGATCCTACCCTCAGCTCGGCTGGCACGGAGCCTATGGATTAGAATACAAACCTTCCAACAAACTGTTGAGCATAGCTGGGTCGTTGTGCTACGAATACAGCTCTCTCATTTTTTCTCTGTAAAGACTCCAAATTCAAGCACTTAGCTTGAAACAAGCGGAGTCGTGGACTTGAGGTGTACTCAAAAAGTACGCAACACAGGTGCCGCACGACGTAGCCGTTCATAGGAAACAGTCACCCGCCAACAAAGTTTAAGGCGTGGTATGAGCTAACTACGAATTAGCTGTCAGTCGCGTTCATGTTAAGTGAACTGTCACGGCGAAACTTTGTACAAAATTCTTAATTAACTAAATGAAAAGCATGTTAACGTTTGATGTGACATTATCCCCTTTTTTCCTTTTTCAACGACTCCCACTCTATTATATGATGCGTGTATTGTCCGCATTATTACCGTAAATCCTTAGACACATCCAAAAAGAGCTTAAAGCTCTTTATAAAGGCCTTTCAACTGCTGAGTTGCAAGTCTGTTTGAATGGTTGGTGACCATCTCTCTGGCGCTTCGTCAAGAGGAGTGGAAACATCCATACGCTAATATCGTTATAGGATAATGGCGTAATAGTTGCTAAAAGTCACAGTGAAAAGGTGGCACTAATTAGCAACTAGTTTGGGGTAAAGAGCTGCCCCGGGACTGGATTTTGCTGGTAATAATAAAACAACCGGAATGCCGACGTTAACGAAGCCATCAGACCGAACGCAATTATTGAAGGGATTTTTATGTTTTGTGGTGGTATAAGATACTCGGCACTAGCAAAGTAACAAATGAGTTGTTTAGAATAGGTGCACTTTGCTTGGGGTTTTCTAAGGTTTCAGAAGCGACTACTTAGATGCTACTGAAGAAGTTCAATTTCCTTTTACTCAGAAGATCTCGTCTAATCAAGTAGCTTTTGGGAGGAAAAACCTGCTGTGATATTTGAAACTACGCCGACAGAATGGTTGAGTATAGAAGAGTATAATTAGTTGTTGTTATCCCAGCTGTAGTTTGGGCACGCTCACTCTATGCACCCATTTAATGGCCTCAATAATATTTGGGGGTGTTGTAATCGCTATACAATTTGACCGCCAAAGTTTTACGGAGGCCTTTCCTCTCCTTATTGCTGTTCGTGCGTTAGCCGGCAAACAAGCCTGGTTCTGCATGACGACGAGGCGAACATTCACGAGCAGTTGAGGAGCCTTAAGTTTCAACTCTAGCATCTTAAACCCTAGTTGGGAACACTTGCCATGTGGTATCGCAGTATGCTGCTTCAACACCTTTGGAAATATTTTTGATTTTGGGAGGTTTATAGAACCAGAAAGGGTTGAGCCCCTCCCCCTAAAATTTATGTTCAGTAGGCATGTATAGGTGCACATGCTACAGGTTTAAAACACCCTTCCCTTTCTATTTAAGTGCTAAACATTGTGCGTCCAAGCCTTGCTTAAAAGCGTGTCCCCCTCCTTTCTCTCTATATACCCTAAAAATTAGTTGGGTTCTGCCAGGGGGTTCACGGAAGATACCTTTTTTGGTAAGAACACCACCTTAGCACGTTTAAATAATTGTTCCGTTAAACGAATGAATTGCACGCGCAGTATGTCTGGTCCTTTTTTTTTGGGTGCAATCGCACAATAATTCAATAAACTTGCTACCTCTCTTTATATCAGTTTCATTGTTATAAGCGCTACAGTCAACTCGAGCGGTACGACAGTAGAGGACTAAAAATTAAAATTTCTGTTTTTACGACATATTAGCTTTAATTCAATTTTTTTATAAAGGGGTACAATCTGCTCTTTCCCTTCCAGCAATTTCAGATATTTATATTCTTCTTTCTCTTAATTTTTATTAAAAACCTGGGGCCCCTTTTAAGCTTTATTTTAAAAACTTTTTTCCTGCTCCTAAATGCTTTATTTAAGTTACTTTTGATATCATTCAAAGTTGGTGGTGTACCCAAAAATCTGCTTCATTAGGTTAATAGATTATTTATATACACCAAAAAAATGATGTTACCTTCTGGGTTGTTTCATAGAAAAGGGTAAAAGGAGAATGGTTATTCTAACGTCTTAATTTATGGGAAACATTAATTTTATTGTACCCTTAATTTATACTGGATACCTAAATGCATGACTTACTGCCCTGGGAGGACTGTTGACTGATGGAAGTTATAACGTGATGTGCCCACCTAAAAACACAGTGCTCACTAAAAGAACACAACGGAACAAATACAAATGAAATTGAGGAGTTAAGATTCCAAACACACTAAGAGGATAACTATTAACGTGCAACTTGAGCTTAATCAAGAGCAACGCTCTTATCGGATAAGCAAGGTCCATCCGCCTACTTTTAAGTTCTCTAATTAGTCGGAAATTTGGATGAAGTATTTTTAAAAAACGTATTTTAATTAAGGAGAATCCTGTATACATAGTAAAGGAAGTAAGAGTATTTTAAGTCTTCGTGCTTTAACAAATGGGCGGTAGTAGCGGTGGTATAAGGTCCGAATGGCGTCACTAACAGGTGATTAGTAAATTGACTTTTTTTAAGAAGCCCCTCCACCTGGACGTATATATAAGGATTATTCAGGAAGTTGTTGGCGTACACTACTTAGGGCATCTTTTACGACTTAAAATTTTAAATAAATTATTGCGGAAGGAGTACTAATGGCAACACTTTACTGCGCATTTAAAATAATGATTTTTTTAGTCAAAATACTTAGAGGCACTGCGACAATATATTTGGTTATTTTTAACCAGCTGGAAAGCTCGATACCTCCTTTAATTAACGAACTACAACTTCGTGGTTGTTGTACTATCAAAGGTTCACTTAAGTACATACAATCAAATCTCTATCCCTAGGGCACACCGACCAACCGTTTATAAAAGCGTACTTTCTTAGCCACTCTAGTGGGCCCCTATATATCTCGCAACTGAAAATTATTGGTTAATATAGTTACCCACTTATCGCACATGCAGTTAATTTGTGGTTAACGCTAAAAAAATAGAGTTACGTAGGTCTCTGTTATAACTTTTCTCTTCCTACATGGAAGAGCGGGGAGTGGGCTGTCGAATTACTCAAAAGGAAAACTGTGATCCTGCTTTTAAGGAGCCCCATGAGATACCTTTTAAACAGCATAGCAAATCCTTTTTTGATACACTCGCCAGTTGGGGTAAATTAAAAAGTTTTAGGAGGACGATATCTGCCTCAGTTCCCAGAAGTGAGATCCACAGTCAATTATGCGGCTCTAGTAAGATGATTTCAATAGAATCAACTTCTAATAAAGAAGTAAAGAAAACTGAAGATAGTAGCGTTAACAGAGAGTCAAGCTTTCTAACTGGACAATTAAGTCGAAAGCAATCTTTGAAATGTTCTTTTACCTATAGCCTTACTCCAAAGCCGTCATGGAGGGACAAAACAAAAAAGAAAAATTTTAAAGATTATAAGAAAAATTTTTCCTCTGAAGAACCAGAAATCACCTTTGGAAGTTGGCTTAAAGAACTAAATGACTTACAAAACTTGGTTGAACAGTTATTACTTGAAATTCCTAGAAAAAATAAAAGGGTTGGGCGGTTTTATTATACTAACTGCTTTACAGGAGCTGACATAGTATTGTGTTTGGTTAATAAGTATTCAAAAAAGGAAGATACGAAGAATCAAGAACTTCAGGTATAGTTTGCCCTATTTTATTTGTTAATAATACACTCTTTTTACATTTTGGATTTTTTTATTGTATATCATAAGTGTTGATTATTGTATTTTTATATCAAACTCTCTATTATGTGCTTTTTTAGCTTAACGTTGGTTATTAAAATAAGTATACCTTGAGCTTTTTCTTTAACTATTACTGTTAACTTTTATGTTAAGTAAGTCGTTTGTTTTGTGTACTTAAATTTCTTATTGCTGACTGCTAATAGTGTTCCTTATCCTTGCTTTTTATGTTTATATAATACTGTAGGCTTTTCACCTTTGTCAACGTCTTTTAAGAAATTCTTTTATAAGAAGTTGTACTCAAGAAGGGCCTGAGTTTGCTTTT